AAAATAATGAAACAACTTCAGTAGTAGACTTTAAGAACACTGATTTATTATAAACTCGGATATTTCTGCCACTCCTGTGGCCTTCATCAGCGAGAATGAGGAATACATCATGAATCAATATAATATAGGCTGTCTTATCAAAAAAGAATAAAGGTGACAGTGAGCAAATGAGAAATACTTATAAAACTGTACAACGATTGGTCTATTTATCTATGCATACTGAGTATCTACAATAATAAAGAACCAAGGGTGTTAATTGCAGAGACTAGTCAAATAAACTATCCATTGTATTGGCCAGCACAACACAGATAAAATGGTTATTTCAGAGAAATGGATAGAGATTGTAACTGAGCCAACTGTAGGAAGACCTAATAATATAACGTATGCTAGGCCTGTGAATATACCTAGAATAATAATAAAAATAATAATAATATTATAATAATGATAATAATAACACTAATAATAATAATAATAGTAATGAGTAAATTCAAAAAAAAATTATTATTATTATTATTATTATTATTATTATTATTATTATTATTATTATTATAAATCAGTGTTCTTAAAGTCTACTACTGAAGTTTTTTCACTATTTTCTATTATTCTGTCGGAACACACGTGGAACAAAAATGAAAAGAGTGGGTTTGCATGTATGCTCCAAGTAAAATAAAATGCAAAAGCAATGAAAAAAACGGTGTACAATCATTGAAAGTTGACTTGCGGAACACAAATTTATTAAGCTATAACAAAATAATATACTGTATATATGTTTATTTTTATGTAAAACTGGATTGTTATAGTGAAGAGAGCCCTCTACGTTAATAGAGGATCGGCTTTGTTTTGTAGAGGCGGTTGCTGAGAGTCTAGGCCTAACCTAGCCCAGACCTAGCCTAATATCTTTGTCTCGTTCCTCCTCGTAGAAAAAAAAACATCAGGGCTAATAACAGTAGGCCTAGCCCTAGTACTAATAATTCTACTTTCTTCAAGAGTAAAGCGATAATCATCATGAATCAGGCATTTCAGCGTCCTCTTCCCCCAAATTGGGAAGCAAAATACGATCAGTCCGCTGGTCGTTAGTAAGTGACTTTTGTGTTTTATTCTTGGACTGTTTAGCACAATCACTGCCTACACAGACTTGCCTAAGCTAGATGGGATAAGCCTACTACTAACTAGTTACTATAGGCTGAACCCACTAGGCTTAGGCCACCTAGCCTAGCTAGGGCCTAGGAAGAAGTAGGTATGCTCGGCTTAGCCTTGGTTCTAAGCCTAAAGAAAAGAAAGGAGTTGTACAGAATAGGTGACTGGGCCTAGCATGTTGCTTTTTAATCATTGTTTTTATGTTTTTGTTGTAAATGTTTGACATTGTGATTGTGCGCCGTTTGCAAACTGCATGGATTTGCATGCACAATTTGGCTTAAGCTCAATGCTCGACATAAACACAAATATTATCTAAAAATAGGCATATCTTACCATCTAAAACATATACAGTATTAAATGCCTCTGGACCAGAGGCGGAACCCTGGTGGGGCCCGTGTTCCAGTCACATATTCAACAGTTGATTGTGACAGTTAACACGCAAGATCACACGCGACTACTAAATTCCACTAAGTGTGTGGTTGGCTTTGTTGTTTTGGTAGGAAAATTTTCTCGGTGGATTGATTATCTAACGATATAAACAAAAGCTCTCTAATGAAACAAGCTACAGCATAACCATTTTAATATTTTTAATAAAACCAATTTCTTCTATTTTAAAATACATTTTCCTATGAATTTCTGATGATTCGTTATCAAGCATAGACTTGTGATTATGCATGTGTTCCTGCAAAATGCGTATTGCATCCAAAATCACTTCGAAATGCGGGACCGTCCTGCACGAAGCGAGACGGTTGGTAACTATGCTCATATCAGTACCCCATTTGTACTCCTGGGTGAAGGGAGGCAAATGCAGATAAAGTGTATTGCTGAAGGACACAGGGTGACGAGCATCAGTCTCGAACCCCCGACCTTCTGATTGAAAGTCCAGTGCCTTACATGCTGCGCCACATGTTTCTACTTTCAATTACAATATTAAAATCCAGTACAGTATTTTTTATTGTATTTGTTTTTTTGGTATACAAGGTAAAATATAATTTAATTTTTATGTAGGCAGTATGAAAAATATTCACATCTTTTGGTTTTACAGCTTCTTTGTCAACCATGTCACCCGTTCTACACAATGGAAAGATCCACGCATTGATTTTTATGGAGATCAAGTTAGTGCAATATTTCATATTACATTAATCTGTAGAATGATTCAAGATTCAATTATTAATTTTGGCTCATAATACAGTAGGCTTTCTTTATTAGTTGATATTCTTTATCTCTTTATGTCTTTGTAATTTTTTTTTTGCCATTTGTTGGAATTACATAATAATAGTGCTCATCTACTGGTATATATTACACGAAAAGACAAAACTCATATATTACAAAGGGAAGAAAAAGAAACGCATCATCCAGGAAATTTAGACTTGCTCTCCTTCTCCAAATATGTGAATTATAAAATTACATTCTTAATGACATAATGATAAGAAAATCTTGTATATAAATTTTTAATATTTAGCTACAGAAAATAAGCAACATGCACTAATAATATACTGTAGTACTTATAAATATTCAATAGTGAAAGACGATCAGTACAAAATTCTCTTCGGGAGCTAGAGATATAATTTGTTGTATAGTACTGTTTACAAAAGAGTACGGTAGTTACAGCAATGCGGATTTGTTTTGCACATAATTGGACAGAATCTTTCTACAGTTTTTTGACACAAAGCAAATTGATAGGAAATATCTTTTTTCTGTCGTAACATCTTTATAGCATTTCCATTATACAGATTACTACATTTTCAACATTTTTTTTAAGTCAGTCAGATTTGTAAAAACTGTACCACACTGTTTTCATTACACTCTGCATAACACCTTCAAATATTAACATGTTAACTTGCCTTCTTTAATCATTTATGATGGTATAGCATTACAGGTAGTGGATCCAGGAATTTGAAAAAGAGGGGGCCGGCGAGGTATTTTGACAGATGAATGGTCTAGACCACCTCAGCCTTACCATGGTTGGGGCTGAGCAGTGGCACCGCCAGGGTCTGAAATCTGTGGGAGGGGCAAGATAAAGTTGTAGGGGGACAATATGCTGGGGTGGCGCCAGGATTTGCCCGCAGTGGGCGTGGTTGGGCATATCGCTCAAGATGTTTCAAAAGTGGTCCAGGGGCGAAGCCACCAAAAAATGTGACAATTTTAGGGTTTCAGAGGCTTAATTAATCAATTTTATAGGTATAGTCTACTAATATGTAGAAATTATATTTTTTCCTTAAGTGGAATATTATTTATTATTTTTTCAAGCATTCAATTCAATAATAGAAAATTTTGTTTTCACCAGAATAAAAATTAGTTTATAGTTTCGATACTTGGTTTCACATCCATATTTTCTAATCAGTTTAAAAATTACAGAATCCTTATTGTATCTGATTAGTTTAAATTTATATTGATATTAAAATTATTTGTAAAGATTGAGCTAAAGTTTCTGTTGGAAACTAATATTTTTCATTTTATTGTTAAAGCTTTAGAATTGTTTCATCAATAATAAACCAATAACAATTGATGTAAACTATTCAAATATTTGTTGTTGTAGCTGTCATCTTGATACATATTAACCTGTCTCTTATACACATCTAGATGTGTATAAGAGACAGGGATTAATCTGTAGAATGATTCAAGATTCAATTATTAATTTTGGCTCATAATACAGTAGGCTTTCTTTATTAGTTGATATTCTTTATCTCTTTATGTCTTTGTAATTTTTTTTTTGCCATTTGTTGGAATTACATAATAATAGTGCTCATCTACTGGTATATATTACACGAAAAGACAAAACTCATATATTACAAAGGGAAGAAAAAGAAACGCATCATCCAGGAAATTTAGACTTGCTCTCCTTCTCCAAATATGTGAATTATAAAATTACATTCTTAATGACATAATGATAAGAAAATCTTGTATATAAATTTTTAATATTTAGCTACAGAAAATAAGCAACATGCACTAATAATATACTGTAGTACTTATAAATATTCAATAGTGAAAGACGATCAGTACAAAATTCTCTTCGGGAGCTAGAGATATAATTTGTTGTATAGTACTGTTTACAAAAGAGTACGGTAGTTACAGCAATGCGGATTTGTTTTGCACATAATTGGACAGAATCTTCTACAGTTTTTTGACACAAAGCAAATTGATAGGAAATATCTTTTTTCTGTCGTAACATCTTTATAGCATTTCCATTATCCAGATTACTACATTTTCAACATTTTTTTTAAGTCAGTCAGATTTGTAAAAACTGTACCACACTGTTTTCATTACACTCTGCATAACACCTTCAAATATTAACATGTTAACTTGCCTTCTTTAATCGTTTATGATGGTATAGCATTACAGGTAGTGGATCCAGGAATTTGAAAAAGAGGGGGCCGGCGAGGTATTTTGACAGATGAATGGTCTAGACCACCTCAGCCTTACCATGGTTGGGGCTGAGCAGTGGCGCCGCCAGGGTCTGAAATCTGTGGGAGGGGCAAGATAAAGTTGTAGGGGGACAATATGCTGGGGTGGCGCCAGGATTTGCCCGAAGTGGGCGTGGTTGGGCATATCGCTCAAAATGTTTGAAAAGTGGTCCAGGGGCGAAGCCACCAAAAAATGTGACAATTTTAGGGTTTCAGAGGCTTATTTAATCAATTTTATAGGTATAGTCTACTAATATGTAGAAATTATATTTTTTCCTTAAGTGGAATATTATTTATTATTTTTTCAAGCATTCAATTCAATAATAGAAAATTTTGTTGGCACCAGAAATAAAAATTAGTTTATAGTTTCGATACATTTTCTAATCAGTTCAAAAATTACAGAATCCTCATTGTATCTGATTAGTTTAAATTTATATTGATATTAAAATTATTTGTAAAGATTGAGCTAAAGTTTTTGTGGGAAACTAATATTTTTCATTTTATTGTTAAAGCTTTAGAATTGTTTCATCAATAATAAACCAATAACAATTGATGTAAACTATTCAAATATTTGTTGTTGTAGTTGTCATCTTGATACATATTAACATGATTTTGAACTTTTTATGAAACAAAACCCTAAGTTTAACCTATTGGAATATTTAATGATTTATGTAAACATTTTAGGCACTTTACGAACACAATCAAAAGAAAATTGTCTTCAACAAAACAAACCAAGAACATGTCCAAAAGCTAGCCCCAAATAAATAAGGTTGACTGTTGCCTCAAAAGCATTCAAACACACTTCACCCATCACCCAGCTACAATTTTCTAGCTGCTCATACTCCCAAACTGATCCAGCAGCCACTAAACCAACAAAATTCAGTTTTTGACTTATTACTACCCAGGATGATGGGAATTTGTGTCAACATTTCTTTCTTGTTTTTTTTTAATATATATATATATAGTACCAGGCACCTGAAAGCATTCCTATGAGAGTTATAGTGAAACCAAAATGCTCAACATGTCGAATAGTTGAGGTAGGTTTACATTTTAACTACATCCAGGTAGTGGTTGTGATATACTGTAAACCTTGAACAGAATGCCTGAGTTCTGTTTTTTTTTAGGACAGGTTTCTTTTTGAGATGATCCTCTTTTAGAGATGGGCTTCTTTTCAAGATTACTTTCACAAATTGAAAAGGGGTGGGGGGTGTGCTTGTTTTCAAAATGAATGCTGTAAATTTTGGAATTGCTACTCTACAGCATTTTAAACTATGGAATTCAAAATTGTGTTTATTATTTTTTTAAAATTTTAACAATGCTAGTACAATAAAATACTATTGATACTGACAAGCTGTCATCATAATCATCAACGATAATGTCAGTATGAATGTAAGTACTATCTCGAAAGAAGCCCATATATCTTGAGCACAAGCCCATGGGCTTCTTTTAGGGTGGGGGGAAGGGGCTTCTTTTAGGGCTGGGCTTCTTCTTGAGATTGAGCTCTGCAGCTTCCATGTGAGGTTTTATGCTATATAATTAGTATAGCATATTATCAGACCTTGTATTTTAGTACTGGAATTTATATCACCACATGCTGCTAGAAAAATTAATAAGTACATTGATTTTTTTTTAAGGTTAATAGTGCTGGTCAAAATTGTGGATCATGTATTGCGAAAAAGCAACAGCAGGAAAGAGAAGCTAAAGCGGCTCTAGAAAGAGAAGCAGCAAAGAAGAGACGTGAAGAGGCTGCACGAATTGCAGCCGAACAAAGACGTCAAGCAGCAGCAGCAGCAAAAGCTGTGAGAGTAAATTTATTTTAATTAGCTTAGAAGTTGGCATGAAAATCAGTGGCATCCAGGAATTTAAAATAGAGCCTGAGGGGCCCAGGGAGGGACTTTCACAGATTGGGAGTCTAGATCACCACCAAATTCATGATTTTGCACTTTTAGACTTAAATTTAATTATAATTTTCAATTTTTTTTCATTGTTAGCAATTTTTCAAAATGGGTTGTGGTGGGTGGGGTAACTGTAAATGAATAAAAAAAAGCTGATTTTGTGCTTCTCACATCAGTGATATCAATGAAAAGGTTGATTCAGTTTTGTTAGTTTTTTATTTGAAACATAAATTTAATTTTTATAATTTCAGATAGTTGCAACAGAAGCAGAGAAAAGAGAAGGTGAGTTGGCTTCAGACTACTGAACAGACTTAGGTCTACAGACAAACCAGAAAGAAAAATTCCTCAATATATGGAAAATAAAAATATAATCCTGATGATTTTCCTGATAATGACTGCAATGATGAAGACGACAGTGATGACAGCAGCGGCAGCTACAATGACACTAACATCAACAATAAAACATCTAGTTGTAAACCATCCTATGGAGTGATGACTAAGCCAGAGGATACAGGGGATCATAAGCCCATCTGCCCTGCCTGACAGGAGAATCCCCCTGCTAGTCATGAGCAAATCATATTCTTAAAAATGATGCAAATTATGTACATTTGAACATATTTTAATGGAATTTGCACAATATAAATGAATGGCTATTATTATGTATTGAAAGTCCACATCTTTTATGATGTGTATAATTTATGCTAATTAGTATTCCCCTATTGATTTTTTAAATGTGAAATGTATCAAAAGAAAGTTGGGCACTCTCTACCTGGTACGACTGTCATATGAGGAACCGAGGCCGCTCCCTGTGAGCGTTAAATGATGCGACACCGTCTGTTTATTGTTTGTGGCAGTCTGAATGGATCTTCATTAAAAACCATCTGTTGCGCGTACTTCGTTACGTTGCATTCTCCATAGAATCGCGTCGGCCGCAGTAAGTGCCTGGCCCAAGAGTTTTAAGTACTGTAATAGAGAAAAGTTATATTTATGTCATTGATAATTAAATATAATAAAATATGATTTATATCAAAATTTCTTTATCATTTCAGTGAGGAGGAAATTAGCACAAATGTTTCCGAATGTGTCACCCTTAATGATTAATATGTCTATTGAGACAACAAAATGTGACTTTAACAAAGCTGCAAATGTGTTGAGAATGGTTGCGGAAGATTCACCAAAACACACTAAAGGTTCACCGAAACCTGCCAATAGTTCTCCAAAGAAAACTTATGAGATAAAAGAAATAAAGACTTCACCAAAAAAGACAACCCAGCCTGCATTTGCTTCAGGTATGCCTGTATATTATTTATTCATTTATGAATTGATTGATAGCAGTGGTGTATCTAGGGGGTGCATTCCCCCAAAGAAACTATATTATCTCCAAATGAAGAAATTGTTTGCTTGATATAACCTTAAATAAGTAGATAAAAATTACCATATATCACCTAATTTTGAGAGCTAACGCCCCATCACTTAATCAGAGAGCCCCAACTTTACATTCGCGCCCAGTCCAAACCCCCACCCCCGTCATTTTTAGACTTCTAGATACATCACTGAGACTGAATCTCAAGCGAGTGATCGGTTTGTATATCACTACAATAATTACACATGTTATTGTTTTGTCCATTTGTCGAAATTGCTCTATTTATCTTTTTTGTTTGTATTTGGTTTAATGTACATGACTTTTTGTAATTGTTTCATATTTATTCTATCTATTTAAAAGATAAAAAGGAACAGATAAATATAAATTTGATGTACTCAAGCTTTTGTTCACAATACTAAATCAGAAGACTTCATTTATTTAGTTATTGTTGTTCATCCGTAAGTGCTGTCCTATTCTATAATGTTATCTTCTGTTGTAATTGTTCTATTTTGGAAACATGAATATATAACACAGAAGTAATAAACGCTAGAATGTTACCCTGATTTTGACGAGTACAGTATAGTCGTCCCTAGCGCCCACAGCAACAACCTGTGGGATGAGTATACTCATCGCTGGGAGCCAACAGACTCAACTAGTCCACAAAGAGAACACTTGCACAATTTGGCTTTTGGAAAAAAATTACATGCTTCTCACCATAGCAGTAAATGTGTCAAAACTCACACTATACTTTTCCATGTATGTGCTTGTCTGTGTTCATCGTCTTCACTGTCTTCCATCATTTTGCTTTTGTCTGCATTAGCGAGTCGTGGAGTGTCGCCAAGTGGAGTAAGTTTTGAAGTTTCACTCTCTGATACCGTTTCAGGTACATCTGATAATGCCAGCTCATCGACAGCACGTCCATCCACTAGGTACTATACACTTTCATTTTTTATTACTTTCTCCTATATTTTTCTCTTGCTGCATTGTCCATACGCAAAGCCAGCGAGAGGTGTTCAAGGTCCACAATAGAGTTCAAGGTCATGGGTCAAAATTCAGCTTACTCAGCTGCACCATTTTTGTTTAACAGATATTATATTGAAAAAAATTTTAGATGTTTATTTAAATACATTAATATTGCTTAAAAAGTTTTATATTAAATGTAAAGTTATTTTAGCCTATTAACTAAAGTGACTATAAATAATTGTTAGATAGTATTGATTGATAATAATGACAATAATAATGAGAATGTATTATCTTTATATCACAATGTATTGTATTGAAATTTACCACTGCATTAGTGCGTGGTTTCTAAAATTTTGTTGTTTGAATATCTAGTTCAAGTGTCATTGAATCCAGGCCAGAGAAACCATCGCAGCCTGCAACTACTGCCAAGAAGGCTGATAATAGGGTGAAATTTGCCCCAGTGGTCATCAAGGCAGAGAATAAGACATTCAACTCGAAACTTGCAGTTGGACCAAATGCTGCTCTTGTCAAAGGTTCCAATGTTGATCTTTTAATGTAAGTATGTTGCTGCTGTTGCTTGATATTTAATAATCCTGTTAAAAATTGAAACATCCTGATCTTTACATTCTATGATTGGCTATAATGAGGTGATTATGGCCACTTGTTCAGATATTTGAATGGTAAATTTATCTTTATTATTTAGTGATAATTACATGAAGGAGAAAGGACCAGATGCAGGAATGCGTCATGGCGCTAATCCTGCTTACGTCTCGGGCCCCATGGGAAACCGCACTAATAAGGAGAATATTGCTGCTGGACCTGACACTTCAAACCTAAACGGACCACAAATGTTACTCTACCAGGGGGAGCTGGAACTGCGGTTTGAAGAGTTGATTGAGGTTAACACTAACAGTCTGTAACTAGGCAAGATTTGCAGTATGACGAAATGTATGACAATTGTTGTTATTGTACAGTATATTTGAAATAGAATTGATATATTATCTCTTGCGATATTCTTTCTAAATACAGCAGTAAGGTCTTTTTACTGTCAAATTATTTTTCTTAGTTTTTTTGTAACATTTTGTCTATAAATATTCATTGGCACTGTTTATAAAGTTATTTAACTATCTAATGCCATGGTATGCCTACAGTTTACAAGATGTATGGTAAATTATAACTATTCTAACTTAATATATTTGGAATACAGTATACTTACACATTTTAGCATGGAGCTAGATAAACATAGTAATGAACAAATTTGTTTATTTATAATACATCATAGTGTAATCAAGAAATGGCATTTTGCTTGTGTGTAATATGTCAATCATGTCATGTTGGAAATGACCTTCTACTTGTGTGTAAAAGGCCAAACAAACTCATATATTTGAACATTTTTGCATGGTTTAGTTTAGGAAAAATAACTAGAGGTCAAGTAACGAAGTTACAATAAACTTGCGATTATGAATATTATAATGAAATAGTTTAGGTAGTCAAGAGTATACAGTAATACAAAATTGAATAGCATTCAAAGCTTATGCTTAACACTGTAAAGTTCATCTGGTGTAAGCCAGTGTGTGTGCACTCAACCATGGAGATTTCAGATCTTTGATTTGTGGTTGAATCCCAATCACTGCAGGTTACACATTTTTTGCACCACCTTTTAGACATTAAGTCCTTTGTGCAATATTGTGCAATGAATGCAATAACCTCTTCAGAACAAATATAGAAGATTATCTCCTGGTATATTGGCCACTACACCACGAGACGGACTTCACTGAAAATAAGTCTTCGGACATTCATGGATTTTACCTGCCAGTGTGTCTCCCACCTGAAAAAATATAATCCATTCAGATGACAGTTTCTTAAAGAAGTCTAATTATTCTTATCCAGTTACTCAGAGTGTTTTAAATTACTTTTTCTACATAAAAATTTGTATGTTGTAGGCTGTTGCTCTTTTTCTGGGGCTTATGCTATAAGTAGTATGTATCTATGGGTATGTGTACACCAACCAGGGTTGTAGGTTACTAGTAAAATATGTCAAATACTGTAATATCATGTTTTATTTCTGTAAATAACTACAATATCTTAAAAATTGAGGAATGTTACTTTTAAATCCCACAATTTAATAAAGACAAGATTTATTAATCTTTTTTTAATAGATTGGCCGAGCATATAAATTTCCATAGATTTCAATAGAATATAAAAAGGGAGTTTGCATTTATGTGTAAAAAGTTTGTTTGTTGAATGGATTATAAAACGATTATTATATATTGATGCTATAACCTGCGTGAGGAAATACTTTTAATGTAAAACGATAAATATTCAATCATATATAGTTTTTTTTATCTTTAATGAAGATTTGATCTGCATTTTACAGACATAATTTATGTTTCATAACAGTAGGTGATTTTAAGTCAGATATTTTTAATTACTATATACAGTAAAACAGTTTTTTCTGTGTTTACCTACATAGTACATGAATTTAAATCATGATTTTTCCAATTATATATTGTAATTATATACTACCTGTGTACTGTAAATGCTACCTTTTATATAATGTATGTAATGATAAGGAGTGGAGCTGTAGCTTGGTGACTAGGTACTTGCCATCCATGGGGAGTTGATGGAGGTGGGGAATGAAGGTTAAAGGGGCCTTGATGATCAAGTGAGGGAGAGCTAAAGAAATGGGGATAAGCTTTTAACTTCTTGAGTGTAAATTTGGTCAGCGAAATTCCAGTGTGGACTCATGGCAAGCTTTTTTCGACAGTGTATGTATGCACCCAAATGCTAGGCCCATATATATCCCGCTGTCTGGGTTCAAGTCATGACACAAACTAAAAACAACTTCACTACTTCCCAAAGCCGCATGATGAGTCTATGGCTAACGTATCTAACGCTGGGTGTACGTTAATCTATGGTGTAACTGGCGAGATGTCCAGACTGGGCGAATAATGAACGCTAGCATAAATATTCGAGCAAAATATTCGTAATCACACATTTAATTTCCTGTATACATCTAGGCTTATTGTGATTAGAGTCAAATCCTGGCATACTGTAGTCCGAAATCATTGATGCATGACTGTCGTAACTTAGTGGCCTACCCTAATCTGGGGTCTGTTGCTGGATTATTGTATGCCAGTGATTGCGTGATAATACTGGCCTTCACTATGCCGCGCAAAAGTTCACACCACTCGATGAATGTTACGTTAGCGTAAGTCGTCGTCTGAACATAACCTATGTAAATGCAACCTAATTACGCTACTCAATCGCGTGTAATTTAGATTGCAAGCAATATGTAAATATGTGCTCCTTTTTAAAAGTATTGTTACATTTGTTTGAATGTTTTTGTTAGATTAAAATACCAATAAATAAAAGTATACAATGGCTATTTCAGTGTGTGTTGTGTAGTGTGTTCGTTTTCAATAAATACCAAAATACGACAGACCTTTATCTAGGCGGATGCAATGGGTGTGTACGAGAAGGTTATTATAGTTAAATTTTAACCATTAATCTTTTTTGTTTGGCCAATATAAAGTAATTAAGTTTTTTTTAAAAAGTTTTCCATGGTATTATTTATCTTTAATTTAACGTACAGTAGAGTATTGGAATTTTATGAAGTGAAATTGGATCAAGAATGCGCACAACATTTATTACAGTACTAAAAGACATCTCATCTTTTATTCAAGCGTATAGTATGATTGTTTCTAACATGATAGAGTACAGTGCAGTAATACAATTAAAATGTGCAACATTATCATGATATGAAGCAATATGTTAACAATTACAATAAAAAAAAATATTCTAAATACACTAAGCTCTGTCCATACTATCAAGTTTAAAGCCTGTTTTCCACAACGCAAATTTATTCCTGCGAATCAAAAGCGTTGGCTCACTTCCTGAGTAGCTCCGATTGGTTGTACATTGCTTTGCAAAAAGTAGAAACAGTTCAAGCTACTGAAAGCTAAAAAATCCGGTAGAAGGTGAATGTGTATGAACCAATATTTTTGATTCATGCAAAAAAATTCACCTAGTGGAAAAGAAGCTTTACTTTTCAAATTTGAGTGAATTGCTCAAATCACTTATCGCATAAAATTTGATAGTGTGAACAAGTTATAAGATTAAAACAGTTTCATATTTAGCAGAGAGAATGATCCGATATTGCACATGTATAGAGCACATTTATTAGATTCAGTTAGGTTCACACTAGAGCACTAGTATCTGGAGCCAACCCTTAGCACCTGTTACCAGGAACTGGATACGCTAACGGTTAGCGAGCCCTGTTGATTAGCAAGTTGAGCGCCTTTCTATCATTAACTAATCACCTACGCATTTCCAGTTTCCTATTGTCTAGTGATCCCATCATCATCTTGATATTTTGATCTGGGATTTTCTTGCATTAACTATGAACATTCATTCATATTCATATAATTTATATACCGCCTTACTTTGCAGATACGAATCATTTCTGGTCATTGGATCCACATGCTTATGTGTTGCTGCTGTAATCAGCGCAGGAGCAAGTAACCCCCACCAGGTACCCATTTATACTCTGGGTGGAGAGAAGCAATGCAGATCCTTGCTCAAGGACACAAGCGAAATGCACAGCAAGGGAATGAAACCCAGACCTCATGGTTGGGAAACCAAACCTTCCACGCTGCGCCAAACCATTTATCTGGATCCTTCTAACCGTTAGCTAGTGTGTGTGAACATAGCCTTATTCCTTAAACTTCTCATTATTTCAATGTTCATATATAATAACGATGTCGGCTAATTCTAGCTTCATTTTATAAATATCAAAACAGTAATTATTGATTATGTTTTAAGCCAAGGAATACCAATATTAGCAAATATGGTATATACATCTGCTGTATAGTGCTGTTCCACAAACTTACCAACAGAGCTGCAAAAACTTATAGTAGTCTGAACCAAGGGCTCTAGGTCAGGGTCTCGGAAATAAAATCCCTGGTGGAGTTCTTGGACAGAAATTTATGGTTTAAAATAGCCCAAAAGTGTGCTTTTAGACCACAATAAGTTTGTTGGATTTAATATTTTTAACTTTTCTGTGGCAGGGACGACAACAGGACTATGCTTGTCCTGGTAACTTTCCCTCTGATCCACTGCTGGCGCTACCACTAGGTATATCATACAACAAAAATCACGAAAAGTTACATAAATTGATGTCCAAATTTGGTTGGGACGGAGTCACTGTAAATTGTGGTAAGTCATAAGATTGGTGTAGTAACTTGCAGTTGGAATAGGCGGAGTGGCAACAACAAGATTAGCTGTCATCCCAGCAGACACAATGTTATCAGGAAACATGGAATTCATTGAGACCGGGACGCTCGTGCTAGGAATGATTGGAAGGTTGGTACCGAGAGAAAAAGTTGTACCCGGAGTCAACGGTACAATGGAAGAGACAAGATTCTGAGGTAGCATTTGCACTGGGGTGGATCGTGTCACCTGTGGTGGACACGTTTGGACAACATTGTCATATACATCAGCCTGGGCTATACGAGCTTCTGCTAAAGCTTGGGAGATAACATTACTAGTGTATTTATTAGCTCTTGATGTAACAGGCCTACTGGCATCGCCCGTGCTTGAGGCCTGGTCAGTTACATCAATTACTACAGTAGTACAATCGTCATTTAGCTTCACAACCGGACGAATGCTGTTGATGCCGTGAGTACGCTTTCGGTGTTTATACAGATTGCTACATGTTGAAGTAACATAATCACAGAGGTCACATGATTTGGTCTTCTCACCTATAACAATAAATCAATAATATTAAATAGTGATCAAAAACAATATAAAGAAATATCAGACCAGACAACTATACAATTAGTACTATTACAAATATTATATTGTGGCAACTTCTATAAACCACATACTACATACATTGTTAATAATTAATAGGCCTAGGTCTGTAGTAAGGGTCGAATTATTAAACAATTTAGCACCCTTTAGGGCATGCAATACCCATAAACAATTATAGGTTTACAAACATTTTTTAGCATTTAGCGTTAACACCCATCAAACAAATTTTGGGAATTTACAAGGTTATTTCTGTATAAAGTAAGTGCTTTTTTACTAGTTTAGCTAGGCTAGTGGTAATTCACTCACTTTTGGCAGAGAATAACATAAATTACATACCTGTATGTTTCTTAACATGGTCTTTTAATGCAGCTTTGGTACGTGTTTCAAAATCACAATATGAACACTTATTAGGTTTGTAGTTCGGGTGTGTCTTCATGTGGGCACGCATATTATACTCAAATTTAAATGGTTCCTCACAGAGTGGACAAATAAACGGCATTGGCCGTGGTAAATGCTTCCGTTTGAGGTGTTGGTTACGTTCTTGGTCACTGAAAAATGGCTTTCCACAATGGTCACATAAAAATCGCTTCTCTTTCAGGTGCTTGCGCTTCATATGCAGACCCAGAGAGTCTCGCCTCCGACATTTGTAATCGCACAATGAGCATTCGTGTGGCTTGGTTTTCAGATGGATACGCTTATGCATACGCAGATTAATTGCACGTTTGAAAGCCTTCCCACAATCCTCACAGAGATAATCACTCGCTTCACCGTGCGTCAGCTTATGCTGGTTTAAACTCGCCTTCTCTGTGTAACATTTGCCACAATCATCACAAGAAAATGGCTTCTCGCCTGTGTGAATACACATATGTCGAAGGTAGTGATTTGTGCTGCCAATAATGTACTTGTTACAGTATTCACAATGCCGTCCAGGCACCGAGCCTCTTCCTCCAATCTTAGGCGCCTTAGATTTTTTGTGCGCTTCTTGGGTGTGCTTCTGCAATGATTTCTTAAACTTGCAAACGAATCCGCAGGTCGGGCAAGAGTACCGATCCTCTTTAACCTCGGTGCTCGCCTGTTTATACCTTCGTGGTGGCTTAGACTTTGGTTTTAGTTTCCGATGGTTATTTGCTTTGTGATTATCCAACATGTAGAGAAATTTACAAGAGAATTCGCAGGAATTGTAAGAGCATTTGTAACGATCGGGAAGAATCTTACATTTGCTGGGGTCTACTAAATATCGGTAAGATTGTGGGACTTGTTTGTTGTGTATCTCAAACTGATGAACTATTAAGTCTCGCTTTAATTTAAAGTCCATTTCACACTCATCACATGTCACAGTATCCACTGGTACTTTTGCATGCTCATGAATACGTTCATGCCTCTTAAGAAGTTGGCTTGTGTTTGCCGTAAATGAACACTTAGCACATGTGAAGTACAGCTTATCTGAATTTTCACTTTGTTTGTCGATCTCTTCAGAGCTTTCAATTTCATCAACCACTTCTGAATACAAAAGACAATTATCTTTCTCCCCTTTTGAAAGCTTCTTCTTATTCCGAGATCTTGGATGATATTGCTTAACTGATTTAGCAACAGGTTTTACCTTTATCTCTTCACCTTCAACAGAGTTGGATCCTTCACTCTCACCAACATTCTCACCATCGAAAAATAACATTGGCTCATGATGCAACAAAGTTGCATCAATTTTTTCCTTAGAAACATCAAAGCCAGATGTTATGTTTGAATCAAGCAAATTAACATCAATTTCTTCTGCAATTTGATGAGTATCGCTCTTGCTTGAATCATCAAGATTTATTGTGTCATTATTCTGTTGATCAGTTGATTTATTAAGTACCTCATCAGGAATTTGCACAACTTCATTATCGCGTTCTTTCCGTTTGTCCTGTTTTGTTCTTATCTTTCGACTTCCAGTCTTGTTTCTAGCTGCGCTCTTTTCATGTGAATTGATAGTTTCAACAGGGTTCTTAGCTAATTTCTTGTGTTCCCGAGTATGTTTTTTAATCTCTTGTAGATCTTTAGTCACAAATGAGCATTTGTCACAGGTGAAGCTGAACTCATCACAGTCGGATTCACTTTCGCTATCCATTGTTCTCCTTTCCTATAATATAATGAAAATTGGATTATGAAATCAACAATAACAATTATAACATCATTAATAAATATGAGGATAAATTGATATAGGAATAGGATACTAAAATATGCAACCTGGCCACTGCGTAAACTTCCATGAGGAACAGCGAAAACACTATGAGGACGAGTAAATATATTATTTATCATATCATGCATGCCAACATTTTAATAGTTAAAAAAGGAGAATTTGGTATAAAGTGCAACCGAGGGCCTTGGCCTATGGGTTCGGCAGAGAGTGTCCCCTCCCGCACATTTATAGCCTTTACTGATCAGGCACCTTGTTAACATGATCCGTGTCAAGGCCAACCGTGACTTTGCAATGCTTATGTCCACATCACTCAGAGGCGATGCTGTCGCCGAGCAAAATATTGAAAGATAACGTAAATAGAGGTTTATTCGTAGTATTTTATTGCAAAAAAGACAATGCAATTAATACATTAGTATGCCATGCAATTCTCTTTGTAAACCGGGAGAGCATGTGCGGAGAAAACGTAAGAAAATAAATTGGATGGAGTGAGGTCACCAAAACAGGAGTCTCCCCACCAAAACAGAAGTGTTATATCTTCAAACTGAAGGATTTGGAGAAAATTTCCCAACTGATGCCACCCCACTCCTCCCCTTGAATCTGCATGTCTACAGTAGCGGCCAATTATTTCCATGTAAATTAAATCTAGGCCAAGGTAAAGCAGAGGAGGGAGGACACATGGTTCCTCCTTTATTGCTCAAGTTTCCATCATTTTGTATCTTCATTGTTCTGTTTTACACAATTTCTTGTGTTGGATAATCTGGTAATAGTATAGAATAGGTTGATTATAATGGTCCATAGTCAATGATCCTTCCAAATAATAACAATAAAAAAATATATTCTATTGTGATCATTACGGACAAGCGAACAAATCTTCCGCAATATGTCGAGTGATCCAAAAAAAGATCCAGGGACTATTCTGTAGCCCGCATGTTTTACGGTAATGTTTCTCACCCATCCCATCCGCCCTGAAACAGAATGGAACAGCTCTACGGCCATTAGAAATTGACAATAGAAAATTATAATGCTATCTCAATCAAAGTAAGACTTCATGAATTTAAACACGTTGTAATTCATGTTTTGATTTTAACATTGAGCTGCTGCCTTCAAAGAAAGATGGTATTATAAATAAATATGTCAACACAAATAAAAGCAAAATTTACAAAGCACATTTCATGGATATATTTACCTTTTTATTCTTCAACCTTGTCTTTGTTCGCAGTTAGGAGGAGAAACACAACCAATTTTTTGTAGATCCTCAAACATAGGTGGCGTTATCAATAATAGCCCTAGCATGCTTACTCAGTATTTCTCAAATCTAAGCCTATGACACGTTACATGTAATTAATCGAGATAGACATATTGGCTCATACAGCCAACATATTTTATTTTAAAGTTAATTCATTTGTAAGTAGAGTTATAATGTTAAAATTACAGCAAGAATAATCCCATATAATCTTCTTGTTCACGACTGTTGATGAAGACTAACAGCCATCCTATCGCATGTCACTCTAATGAGGGCGGTTGGTTTGGTTGATAGAATCAATAGAAATGCCAAACGGAACGGTCGGCCCTGGACTGTGCAGAATCAGATGAAAAGTGGGTTTAAATATTTATTTTCTGTGCTTTTGGTTCAGGAGTTTAAGTTTTGATATTTAAATAATTGTGTGAAGAATAACTTGCAACATAAAATTCAGGAAAGTACTTGTGTAGGCCCAAAGTCTAGCTAGGCTAGCCTAGGCTAGCCCCCCTACCTAGCCTAGCCTGTCTCAAGCACAACCCTGCCTCACTCACTCATTCAAGAAAGGAGGTGGCCTAGGGCCTAAACATAGATAGATAGGCTAACAAGCCTAAGGCAAAAAAAAAAAAAAAAATGAGAAGAAAAAGATGAAAAAGAAAGTAAGGACATAGGCCTAGCCTACTACTTGGGACTAGCCTAGACCTAGGCTAGTAGTAGGCAGACCGGTCTGCCTTACCTACTTTTAATCCAGAAACTAGCTAGTTAAGTTGGCGGCCTAGCTAGAGCCTATAATAGTACACCTAGACTAGGCCTAGAAGGATTATGAAGAGAGAACGATCGGTTTCTGTGTGGTGCTTACAATACTTACAGGAGTGTGGAAGCATTGAGGTATAAATACCTTCATGGTGGAAGATTGTGTGTGTTAATTAATTAAATAAAAACTACAGTTTAGGCCTTTAAAATGAGAAATTATTCAAAAATCAATTCATATTTTCATTTAATTTGTTCTACAGATGATTGAACCTACAGACCTAAGCCAATTAAAGATCAGTTATGTATGTGATGTTTGCAAGTTTACATCAAAAGATAGTGTGGTGATGATATCACATTCAAGAACACACTCTGCTGAATGCGATAATACATTATCTGAAGGAACAGATGAACAATTTGTTAACAATAACCCTAGGAAGAAATCAAAGAGTATTGAGAAAGAGCAAAATAAGAGAAACAATAATTGTAATTCTGGAGTTGAATACCATGGTGAGAATGGATCAGTTACCCCATGTAATGAAATGGATGAATGTGAACAAATTAACAAAGTATTTCAACAAAGTGAAAATTCCATGTTGGATAAAAATGAAGATGTTAAGAAAGCTATTTCAAGAAAAAATAAAAAAGTGCGACGAAATCATTTAGCCTTAGTTAAGACTTCATTGAGAGATAAGAAAAATGAAATACAGACAACAAAGGAAAATAACATTGAACTGATTTCTCATGCTTGTGAAAATTGTGGGAAAACTTTTAGATGTGAAAGACTGTTTAAGAAACACAAATGTAGCCTTAATTCTGGTACTCTTTCTCAAAGTACATTGCAAACAAAGGAAATACAGAAACAAACATCAAATCATGAAGTTGAGATTAACAAAGAGGTGGTGACAGGAAACGAAGATGAACTAGAGCAAGAAATACTTAACTCGAAACCAATAAGTTACAAATTCGTGTGCAACATTTGTACACATAGATTCAAGCAGAAAAAGGAACTTGTTGTTCATGAAAAGAGGTGCCGTTCTGAGAAATCTAGACCAGGAATAATGTGTGAATATTGCCAGGAGATTGTGTGGGGTGGGCAGAGTAGGTATATACGTCACGTTGCAAGGCATACTGGAACATTTCAGTTCACCTGTGGCCATTGTGGGAAAGGCTTTCATGACAATTCTTCTCTAAAGTTGCACTCATTGGTTCATGAATGTGCAGTAGTATCAGAAACCAACAATAAGAAGTTATCGTATCAATGTGATGAGTGTGATTATGTGTCTGCAAAGATCAGCCAAATCACCCGGCATAAACGTGAGCAACACCGAAAATACAAAAACTGGAGAGAAGTTCCTGTAGAAAAACGTGGTTACGAATGTGAAATATGTGGACAATTCTTGAAGGGTTATTATAGTAATTATATTCGACATGTACGCAGACACACGGGAGAACGTCCATTTCCATGTGAAATATGTGGTGCGTGCTTTATTCATTTAAATGCACTTCAACAGCATCAAACTCGTCATTCAGGGAAAAAGCCGTGTCTATGCGAAATCTGTGGTAAATCTTTCATATATAGCTCAGCCTTAAAGCGTCACAAAGCTATCCACAGTGTTGTCAAGGATTTCACGTGTGATAAATGTGATTACCGAACCACAACCAAGAATGCATTGAGGATTCATGACCGCAGAGTACATATTAAAGAACGAAAGTTTCCATGTGAATTCTGCGAGCTTAGTTTCTTCAACGATGGCGAGCGAAAACAGCACACGCTTAATTGGCATACAAAGGAAGCATGGAAGTGTTTTATGTGTGATGAGGTTTTTAATTTTAAACGCAACTTGAATGGACACATTGCCAAAGTACATCCAGAGTATAAACATCTACACTGCGAATTCTGCAACTTCAAGGCCAAGAGACCGTACCGTCTAAAGGCACATTTGAAAACCCATTTTCAATCTGAGAGGCCTACTAAAGCTAAAACCCAAAAATGTAAGCCTCCATAATTTTTTTAAGATAAATTTTTCACCTTAAACAAAAGTAATTTAGAAACAGACATGATGGAAAAAGGGAGGAAGGAAATGAGATAGAGGAGGGAAGGTAAAAAAGAAAAGTGAGGGAGAGAACCTTTTTTTTTAACTTGTTTGTACTAAATGATTAGGCAAGACTTTTTTATACCTTGTTTTCTTAAAGATTGTCAGAGGGCGGACAAAAAAAGTATAAATATAATTTTGTTTTCTCATTTATCAAAATGATTTTGTCAAAAACATCTAGGCAGAAGAGAAAATAAAAATGAAATTTTATTAATGAATTAGACGTGTAGTGATGAGATTGATAGTAGATACAAATGCTTTAAATTTATACAATTAAGGAGAAATACACTACTGTACATAGGCCTACTGTACAGTATATTTTATTTCTGGAGATTTCTTGAAATCAGAAGGCATAATAAATATAAAATTTTATATGTTTATGAAATTTCTATTTGTTTGCTAACTAGCCAAAAATAAAATTTTTTTTTTATTTACGGTCAACATTTTTTGCGGTCGTCAGGTTTGATAAACAAGGTGTAAAAATATCTTGCCTTGTTATGAATGTGGCACCACCAACTTTCAAATTAAAAATGCCGCTTTGTTATTTTAATGGTATGTTGAGGGCTGTTGTAATAGTTGGAGAGCATGGTTCATGCTCATAGTTTTTTGTATCTACCGGGAAAGATAGTGGTGCAAGTCAAAGACACCAGCACTGATATAATGGCTGTGGGTTGTGGTGTCCCTGTCTTAACTGCTTGGCCATTTGCCACTGATCACATCAAATTTGTTTTCTCTTTTTTGACAGGCTCATGGAATTGTAAGGACTGTGATTTCACTGGCATTTCAAGGGATAGCTTCATCTGTCATATGCAGCAAGTGCACAGTATGAATATTCAAGAGAAATCCACTGATGATCCTGATCTGCACATTGATATTATTCAGGAATACACCCCTACTACAACTGTGGATTCTTCCATGGTGTTGGTTGCTGTGGCACCAAGTACAACTGAAGGTGATATTCAAAGGAATGAGGTTGATCAAGATGAAATGAGGAAGGAAGAGGGGAATGCAGCGGTAGACTCACTGATTGCTGCCTTAAATGAAGACATTATTCAAAGTGACATTGGTGCTGTGGTAGTGATTCAAAATACATGATCTTTATGGAACGCTTAAATGATAAACCAAAAGTGGCGCAGTGCAAAATTCAAGTGGCGGTGCAAAATTCAAGTGGTGCAGTGCACAAATATAGAGACACAGTGCAAAACTAAGTGGCACAGTAAAAAAAAACTACAGTGGCACAGTGCAAAACTAAAGTGGCGCAGTGCAAACTCAACCACTTGACTTTTGCACCGCACCACTTTTGTATGTCCTTTAGGTGTTCCATAGATCTTATGTGCACATTTTGAAACTGTATTTCGAAATGTGCACTATTTGGTTCTTAGACACTGTCTGTCTCTTTTTTTGCATATATTTATAAATTTAGTGGTAGATAGTCCCTTTGATTACCTAACTATTCACAAGTGAAGAAAGTGTCTTCATCATCATTTTTTCTATTAACAAACATAAAGGAATTCCTCTGCGCTACGAAGCTTAGTAATTAAGGATGTTAAAGCATTCGAAGCTTGAAGAAAAAAAAGGAAACTTTATAAAATAAAGTTTATCATTTTAATTTTTTTTGGGTTAAGACATTATTGGGTGTGCTGTATTATACTGCCCTATAATGGCTGTGGGTTCTGGTGCCACTGCCTTAACTGCTCGGCCATTCGCCATTGATCACATCAAATTTGTTTTCTCTCTTTTTACCTTGATGATAATTCTTATATGTTGGTGTAAATTATTATGTTGGAACAAAAGTTAAATATATTATACTTCCTGTAGTATTTACCTTATTATTTGTTTTTTTTCCGTCTCCATTTTCGTTTTTTATCCCTATCTTTTCAATTTGTACATCATAGTATTTGCTTTGTGCAGTTTAGACTTTCCTTATGTGGGCCTGTAATTAACTAATTCATCATTTCTTGATTAATTTTAGTGATTTAATTTCATTGAAGAAATTGTCTTCATCATCATCATCATCTTTATGAGGTTGCAAATGTTCAAGAAGCTAGAAATTAAGAATGTTATTAAAATAAAAAATGAATACATTATATTTAACTTTGTGTTATTTTAGTTCAGAAATTGAAGTCTATTAAAGTTGTTGGATGTACAGTATTTGCTCCAGTACAGGGGTAGATACATGGGCCAATCCTCCCTCACCCATCAAAAATGTTTGAATTAAAAAAGCCAATAGGTCGGGCTTGGGTTCCACAACTTCTTCCACTCGACATCACTCAGTCTTGTTGATTCCTGCTGTGTTGGGGACCCAGAAGCTGCGCAGCCCCAGGTCCCAGAGCCATTCTTGACGCAGGGTTCCCGGAAATTTGGATATGGTTTCGTAGTCAGATTTGTGAGAAAAACTTCAGTTACCTGTATTTCTCGACTGAGACGTCAGTGGGAGCTGTAATTAGTATGGCAAGGAGATTGTGCAACCCTTAATTCGTATTAAGGGAATTTACGCCCAGAAACCTTGTAATTATATATATTTTGGTTATAATAAAAAATATTCATTTTTTGGTGACACCACACTCACAATATAGTTAGCATGCATACATCATAAGCTAGTTACGTCACCTTTTCCTGGTAAGGCAAACTATCCCGGCGTGCTTTTTTCATGGATAAACAAACACCACTGCTTTGCACATGGATGCCTTGTCTTAGCTAGGGATACAAGAGCCGCATTGTTAGCATTGTATAATACGTACAAGGTACCTCTGCAACTGAATTATTCTTAGATATTTGTTTTTTATTTTATTTTGATTTATTTCTTTCGAAAGTGTACTTTCTATCACATATTATTGCACTGTCAAGTTAGGCCTGGGCCTAGGCCTAGTCTTATTGTGTATGCCTCATCGTCATCCGCTACACAGTACATCAGTAGCGCCCCGGCCCCCCCCCCTATACAGTACAGACGTTTGCTGGGCAACAACGTGATTGAACCTTCCTTCGCAGGTGTTAATGTATTGGCATATTGTTAGCTAACCAGTTGTGTGTATTTCTTTGTGAAAATGAGTACCGCGGCGTACTCATTTTCACAAAGCAATTGCATCCCCTCTTGGAAAGAGGGAACTTCGAAATAATTGTCTTCATATCTTCGCTAATTAAATTAATCACCGTAATTTAGCTTACACTTATGAATTTAGCTAGCGCTTTAAATGTACAACAATTATTTCATTACCCGACAAACCCCAAACTTTTCATTTTTATTCATTTGGCCTACATAATAGTTTCATCTTGCTGTACTATATACTCCAACATCACTGGCGCATGGTAACAACCAACTGATGCAGACCATTTCCGATCACACATTACTCTCCATAACACTGCACCCCCTAGTTCCATTACCTCTGGGTGGTTCTGAACAGATGTTTACAATCATAAAGTTGTTAATTTCAGGGTTCAAATTGCTTTTGGAAGGAGAAAAAGGGGCATTAAAGGAGGGAGCAAAAACATTTTTTTTTAATTCCTTTTATTGCGCACCAATACATAGTGCTTTAACATCACTACAAAATACATCAAGCTTAAAGGGATCAAACTACCAAAAGCATTTCAGAACACCATTAATGTCACTCAATTAATTGTAAAATAAATATTAGAAGCAACCTTGAAATTGAATATTGGATTCAAACATATATACAGTAGTACTTATAATAAACAAATTCAGATTACAACATTTTAATTTAATAATAAAATGAAGTTCAGTTTTATCTTCCTTAAAGAAGAGGAACTTGGGGGTCAAAATAATCCATTCCTTAACATGTTGGTTTATGAATACAGTACTGCATTATTAATGAACATTGCATAATGGTCCACCAATGCCTGCCTGCCTGCCTAACTTAATTTTTGGGCACAGTCTCTTCAATTTTTATTAATATAATCTAGGCCAATGCTTGTTGATTTTGTTTTTTGTTTGTATCTTATGACTTGCCACCAATTAAGATGCCCATGTCTAAATTGTATTTATTTCATAGTATTGTTGAAATTTCAATGCTATGACTATGTATGAGCACAGCTGTAAATAATATTTCCAACAATATGCCTTGCTTAAGGTTATTCTATGGTCTTTTTCAACAGCGAGAGATGATACTGCCTGGTACTAACCGGTAGCTAGATTGCAAGACAAAGAACGTACTGTAAAAGAGGAGCAGAAAATATTGTTTAGAAAATAGTTGGCACCGGACATTTCTACCAACTTGTCCGGTGGTGATTACTTTTTCGCGTAATCACCCATGTGACAAACAATCTCTATTCCGATTGGTTAATTCACTTTCTGTGTGGCGATTTGTGCACGCTCCTGCATGGGACAAGCTGACATGATGTGAGTGCGAGAGATGCGACGAGGTCACCCATTCCATGCGTGTGTAGCGTTATATTATTGGGAGCCTAGACCTAAGGTTTGTATTGTAGCACTACAGTATATCATTGATCATAACTCTGTAAATGGAGTTCCAGTAGCTGTAAAAGAAGGTATAAACATGGTATAAATTAAGAATAATTATTTTATCTTATTTTGAACTTGCGATCGTTCTTCAGTCAATGTTATTGTTAGTCGTAGGCCTAGGCTAGCCGCCTATATAGGCCTACTCTACTGTATGTCGGACAGTAAGTAGGCCTAGGTCCGAGCAGGACCTAGCCTAGGCCTAGTGTAAAGTGCATCAGTAGTACATAGTAGTAGTAGTAGTACTTGTAGGTAGGCCTAGCTAGGCTCCTGGCTTGTGTCAGGTACAGACAGAACTTTATTGTCATGAAATACAGGTACAATTATGAAGCATGGTCCAACACAAAACAATGCCTGCCAGCCAGTCTAACTAACTTGATTTTTGGGTCAGTCTCTTTTCATTAGGCCTAGCTAGGCCAAGCTTATTATGCTTGTTAATTTTGTTTTTTGTTTAGGCTATGTACTGTAATTTTTATCACAAAACAGGTTGGTACACCCTCTGCTCTGCTGATATGTTAATTTAACCTGTATAAATATGTTCAATAAATAAATAAATTATAAGTGGCTCGACTAGCCTTCAAAACCCAGCCATCAATGTTTGGCGGTGTACAGCACTGCATCATTTTTAATGCCCATCATCTTCCATTTCCAGTAGTTTTTTTTCTGTCAATGACTATTTACAGGAATAATTTAACAATACTTTTCAGTATCATTTTTGTTTATTACTTTGGCTATTTTGCCTGTATCATTGTCACTTCCTGTATATAATGAGATATTTTTACAGTATATTACTTATTTTCAGTGTTTATAATAAAAAGATCTTTTCTCCGGAATTTCATACATTGAAAAAATTAAAATTAGTATTGAGGGTCCTAAAATTGTCCTGAGAAGGACAAAAAGACCTGGCAGAATCCACCTGGGCCTAATCGACTCGTAGCTGAAATGACACTTATTCGATTTTGGCACGGATAGTGGGTGGGTGGCCTACTGTCTGTAGCCAGTAAGAAATTGGTCTTGGCTCGGCCTACCTGTGTCTACAGTAGCTAGTAGGCTAGCTGTATATTTAAGTTTGTTTACCATCATCCTCATTATTATTGTAGGTGTGCACATGTTGGTGTGTATATTTGTATTTTGGTTTTTTTTGCATTACACAGAGCCAAACTAAATTTTTCTGTATGATTTGTAAATAAAGTTGTTCAGTATACTGAAAGATTCATTCAGATATCATAACCACACTAAAACTGTGATTTAGTAACTGGAAAAAATGCTTGTGAATATGATAAACTCATTGATTTTGTATGGAATAACCTAAATGCCAAATATTTTAACATTTTAAGTTGATTCTTCACAATACAGCTCATAAATTTTCTTAAAGATGGCTGAAGCTGCTAACAATGTTATACCTGAGAATATTAAGAAACTTGTGAGGGCAGTGTTGTTATCTAAAATTGGTGGCGTACCAATAAAGCGATTCCCAGCTGATTATCGGTCACTGATTGGTGAAAACTTTCCATTGAGAAGTTTGGGTTTCAGCTCATTTCTGTTGTGTATGAAATCAATGCCAGATGTTGTAAGGCAAGTCAATAGTTTTTTTTTGTACATCCAACAAAATACTGTAATTATATTATAAAACTTTCTAAAATGTGGGTCACAACAAAAATTTATTTAGGCCAACAATATTTTCTAGAGGGTTGGAAAAGGAAGAGCAAGATTACATCAATCTCAGTCCCAGTGAGTGTTCAAGAGTAGTAACATAGGCTGATGGTGGTTTTGAGGGGAACAAAGGTTAAGTGGGGGGGGGGGGGGGGGGGGCTTCATTGGCTAGCAATATAAAGTGATACTGTACTGTATAAGGCAATTTGTTTCCACCCTAAAGATACAGTAAGCCAAGCATTATTCTAGTGATGCTATACACATGCGCTGAGTACTTACTGCAATATTATGGAATTTTCCCCAGGGATCTGAGTATGTGTTCCATATGTGTTTGATCCAATGACCGGGGTAGTAATGTGAAGCATTTAGAGTCATCATGCATGAAGTGCTATATAAGACTGACATATTATTATTATTAATAATAAAATATTATATTACAATAGCCCTACATTTAATAATTATTTCTTCAATACAAATAAGGTAGTTCAATTGGTGATTTTACAGAATAGATGGTGAAAAATCAGATACGTGTTTGTTATTTGGTATTGGTGATGAAACGTCTTTTATGAGTGGACCAGCAATCATGGCGCAGTTCCCAGTTGAGGGTAAGAGACAAATACCCTCTCAACTTTCACAATTTCATATCAAATCTTTGATAATTTTACTTTCTTAAATATGACTATAATCATTGTAGCTAGACCTGTTGGCAGTAGACAGATGTGATTAGTATTTGGTTTGGGGTGACCTGCTGGTTTGGATTTATTTTGAAATTCTCAACATTATACAAACTACAAAATTAGTTATGTAGTTGATACTCTTAATAAAATGTTGCAAATATTGTTTAAAATGCTGTTGAAACATACCTCTCATGTGAGAAACACACTCATTGTGAGTTCCACGTTATTAGATATTGTAGAACAGTCAGCCACTTACTTACCGTAAGTGAACTACAGTATTAGAATCGATATAGGTAACTTAATTGAAATATTTTTACTACAAAATGTACTTGTTATCTTGTGTTCAGGTGGTCATAAGAGGCAGAGAGGTAGAAAGCAAGGTGGAGCTTCAAAAAAAGGTATTTGTATTTGTTTTCTTAAGCCCTGTCCAAACTATCAAATTTGACAAAAACATGTGACATGCCCAAATATGGTCATGATGACATCACATCATGACCATATACAGTATAGGCAAACCATGACAATACACCTGTATATGGGCATACAAGAGTTTTAGTGTAAACAGAACTTTGGTATATAAATTAGATACACCTTGTTTTAATTATGAATAAGTCATTAATTATGAATGATTATAGTAGAGAACATTACTGAAGAGCATTATTCAGTGATCTGTTGACTGTTGTCTCTCAGCCTGCCTGTGTTTAATTTCGGTTACATACCTCACAGGCTCAGGTTTTTTTTTTGATCATCGGGATACAAATAACTGATTTTTCGAAAATTAAATAATACTAATGTTGCACCAAGTCTGGTAGTCTTAAACTTGGTACCAATTTATCTTTTACAATAAAAGCACTGCTCTCAATTATGAAACATTTAAGGATATTTTGTACTAAATTTTATCTTTAGAAAATGGAAAAGTAAGCACAAGTGATTTGAGTCTCTTGATCATCGGGATACAAATAACTGATTTTTCGAAAATTAAATAATACTAATGTTGCACCAAGTCTGGTAGTCTTAAACTTGGTACCAATTTATCTTTTACAATAAAAGCACTGCTCTCAATTATGAAACATTTAAGGATATTTTGTACTAAATTTTATCTTTAGAAAATGGAAAAGTAAGCACAAGTGATTTGAGTCCACTGTCTGCAAAATTTCCTAATCTGGTGCCCAATATGAAAGGATGGTATTCTGTTGTTGTAAAGGGAATACATGATTCAAACACTGCAAATGTGAGTATACACTTTTAGACTGTTATATATTTGTTAACTTTCACTGTTCAGCATCCAAATTTACACACAACCTTCCTTTATTATTAAAAATTGCTAACTAACCTAGGCTAACCTGTCAAATCCTCATGTAAGCCAAGGCCTACAATAAGTAAGGTAAAGGTAAAGGTAGTCCCGTATTCATTACTGAATGAGCTGTTAGCCCATTGTACTAAGCCTCGGTATTGTGTGGTAGGGTGGCCAGTTCCTTTCCACGCCGCCTTTTTCCTCCCCAGTAGTAAACCACTGGGTACCCATTTATACTCCTGGGTAGAGAGAGACAAACATAGATAAAGTGCCTTGCCCAAGGACACAAGCGACTTGCACAGCGAGAGTTCCGAACCCCTGACTTCAAGGTTGGGAGTCCAAGCCACAACCGATGCGCCAACCGCTTCCACCCTACAGTAAGTAGTGTAGTTTATTAATGTTACTTTCATCAATAACCTCCCCTGGGTTCCAGTATTGATTAATGTCAAATTTGAAAATCAATGATAGATTTTTTTGATTATTTGTGCAACTTTTCAAAAAATGTATTGCTTTTTTCACTATTCAGTTAGGTATATATGAACTAGAAGCAACACAAACCTTCTGTGTATTTCTTTTATGCATAATAGTATTCACATTTGAATTTTTATGCCCATAGAAAACAATAATAATAATAACAATAATATAATTACAATAATAATAATTATTATTATTACATAATACATTATTATGATTATGATGTTAATAATATTGAGAATGAAATGATGTCTTTGATGCTTTTTATTCTAATCTTTTTACACGTTTTATTTTATATTCTAAATGAAATTTTTAGATTTTTTTCAGTTTGGATTTTATTGTTTTACTTTAGTATTCTGTTTTTGCCAACTTAAGATGCTTTTCTTTTGTTTTTATGAAAGATAGATAAAGTTATTCGTATTCGTATTGACCTAAAGTGCTCTATCAAAATTAATGTGGTTGTTGATTATTGTCACCTCCCAGTGTTGTAGTTCACATAACTTGGCAACTGTGGTTGGCTCCCCGATATTAAATATTTATATGTCATTATCGTTTTGGTGACTCTGTCAGATATAAGGGTTAATAATTGGTAATCAAAATACTAGACGGTGCACTAATCCTGTCTGATGATTGATTTTAAAGCAAGTTTGGATGAGGAGACAGTCAGCTGATGATTTACCTCCTTGCCAAGTTTACGTTACACAAGAAAGTGACATTACAATACAGTGCAGCCTCCAATTCGAGACCCCTGTAATTCCGAGAACCTTTTAATTCAAGACCACTTTTTTTAAAGATCCAAATAACAATCGTTGTTAGGAGCGTGTGGCGCAGCGTGTAAGATGTTGAACTTCCGATCTTGAGATCAGTAGTTCGAGCCCAACGCTCATCGCATTGCTTGGGTCCTTAGGCAAAGCACTTCACTTGCGTTTGTCTCTTTCCACCCAGGAGTATAAATGGGTACCTGGTGGGATGGTATGGCATTGAATGTATAAGCTAACCCTTTAAATGGAGACTGAATCTAGAGACCACCCCACATTATCAGGTCCCAAAGGCAAATTGTTGGCAAAATTCTGTTGAGCAGAAAGCCCATGGGGGTAAAAAAAGGAATGTTCACGTCGTGGCCCTGCTCCTACCAATCCTTTCACCACTATACACGAGAATCTTAATGTCAAGTTTTTAGACCTAAAACGACATGGCTCTACAGAGTATGAACTTGTGAATAGACTCGATAAGAAGAAGAGCCTATGTATTTGCATCTACAGGTACTTATATATCCATAAGTTTAGACGATCAAATGCATTGGAAAGCATTTAATAATATACTTTGTCCAGATTGTTGAATTTTCTGTGACAAAAAACTGTTGTATGCCCATATATAGTCATGATGTGCCTACTGTATATATGGTCATGATGTGATGTTATCATGACTATATTTTGGTCAAATTAAAGTTGATAGTCTGGACAGGGCTTTAGATTAACTTTTATACATTTGAACATTTATTTTCTCCATCGTAAACTTATTTCCTTAAATGTTAAACTGTCAGATATGCCAACCACTCCGATTTCGGCGGAGTTATTCTGTTTATTTAAGCAAAACTTCGCACTTCAATTTTAGGTTAAAAATCTCCGCTTTTTACGCATTACGTCCGGCTGTAATTAATCGCGCATTTTCAAATAATAAAACCCTATGATTTAGATAAGAACAAGACCAGTTAATTTCATTCTGAACAGAACTCTAAACTGTGTACAAAAAAGTAATCCGTGCTCCACAGTCTACTGATTTCGGAAAAAAAACCAATATCTTTGGCCATATCGCTGACTGACTTGCACTCTGAACTGTATACAAAAAAGTAATTTGCACTCCACGGTCTACTGATTTAAAAAAAAAAAAAAACAAATTTCATTGGAAAAATCGCTGACAGAGTTGCACTGCACTCTGAACTGTATAGCCCTCCATGGTCTACTGATTTCGTAAGAACAACAGTCTAGTAAACCACAAGTACCAAAATTGAGTCCAATGAGAGAGATGAGGATGTAGGCTTAGGCAGTGCTCAAAAAACTAATAGTAGTAGTGTTGAGCTTCCTCCAAAAAAGTAGCTAAAACACACACAAACATTCCGTGCAAGTTATAACGAGAAGTATCCTGTCATTTTGAAATCAAAACTAGGTGATGCCCACGCTTGTTGTGATCTGTGCAGTGTTGACTGTCTGAGTAGGCCTAGGCCTAGTCTCGCACGACGGTATTGCTGATGTAAAATGTCATTGTGAATGAGAACGCCATTTAAAATATGCAGATCACATCGGTACCATGTATCTTAGGAAAAAATGTAACATACTCCGCTGACATTGCCAAAACTCCTCTAAGACTCTTCTTGTTAGCCTTGTAGGGTTGGCATGTCTGCACTGTTAAGGCATTTAAATTTATTTTATTAAATCTGCTACCACTTACAGGAGGTCTACAGGTTGTTCTCATATGATGCTATGGTTGTGGATTACAGCCATCATAATCAGTAAGTATTTTTTAGATGGACAATCAATTTACAAAATTTCTTCTGTTTCCCAACAAGTGCTTTATAACCTATAAATTTAAGTTGAGCAATTTTATTATAATTATATTTATTTATTATTTTATTGATTTTTATTTCATTTTTTAAATTTGTCTTTGAATTTCTTAAGAAAAAGAAAAACCTTGATTAAAAGCACTGAGCTAATGCTTCACTACACGTTTTCATTATTTAGTTCCCAAATTAAGAAGACACCAAATAGGTTTATAAATATTGAAAAATCTGTATCTTAGTAACTGTTCATAGGTTTTTTCATCACAACATATTTTTTTTCCTCCAGAGCCTGGCTTTAAATCATGGTGAACAGCAGTAGGCCTATTATTTGACCCTTAATCAAATGCAACACAACTTTAGTTTTTAGATCATCACATTGCACTATCCCGTAGTTAGCATACTTGGCTGATGGCTATATAAAACAAAATTATTTTAAGATATATTTAATGTGCTCATTATTTCAGCTTTTATTTCTTTCGATTTGGAAATATTACCGATGCAGAACGCATTTTGAGCAAATATGATGGATATATACTATGTGGAACACGAATTGGAGTTTCACCAGCACAAGAAAAAGGTAATAACTAGATTTGAACTCGTCACTGAGGTGAAAATGTCCTGAAACGTGCTTTAAGTTATCTGGAAAGTGATATTGAGAATTTCCAAATTTTGCCGCACATGCACTTACGTGCGCGTGGACGGTAATGGAATACGAAATTGAACCTTTTCAAGTTTAATTTAAAAACACCTCTTGATTGGTAATGCCACACAAATTTTCCCTTCATATTATGTACTATGTCAATCTGATAGCGCCGAAATACAGTCTGCCGCCCTCTCTGTCGTCAATGATTTTTTGACAAATTTGAAGAAAGAGAGATGAGAGGTGAGAGGGCTCCAAAAATTCATTCTTTTTTAACATGATGACGTCGTCAAAATAAAAACTAAAAGGACACTTCCGAAAGAGAATTGTCTCTTAATTCAAATGGCAAAATGATGACGTCACAATGTCCAATCAGCCATAATGGTCTATAATATCATATCTACAACTCATGTGCTTTCAGAATATGTAATAAAAATTGGGGGTTACCTTTCATCCAAAAGAGCTATAACTGATTAAAAATAGGCATAATTTTAAGCATATATAATAGTTGACGTACGCGTACGTGCACATTAAGAAGCGCGAACGGAAAATTAAGGTACATGACATTCAACCTTGACCTGAAGTTTATGCTCACTTAATATGATTCAGAAATGACGAATGATTAAGATGATATGGTGTCATCAACGTTTCGAGGAAAGAAAGATAGGGGTGTCACATAAAACATTTATTTTGACCATGATGACATCATAAAAAAGTAAAAAGAAGTCACATGTGAAAGAGAATTGTCTCAGCTATAACATACTCAAAGTTGGGAGACGATCGACCAAGAATGAGCGAGATACGCTTAAATGCGTATTTTCATCAATTAAAATCAGTTATGAATTCAGATGGCAATATGATGATGTGACAATGTCCGATAAGCCATTATGATCTATAAAGTCATATCTACAACTCGTGCTTTCAGAATATGTAATAAAAATTGGGGGTCACCTTTCATCCTAAGGAGCTATAACTGATTAAAAATAGGCCTGATTTTAGCATATTTTCATCCCTATGTTTGATGCGCATGTACGGCATTGCTTTTGGCCATAAGATGACCGAAAGGAATAGAAATTTGTGAAAACAATTTCAGGAACCTAAAATATGTAAAAAAAGCGCGCGTAGTGGAAAATGTCAACAAATTTTGAAATGCTCAAAATGGCCTAAAACGTGCTCTAATTTAGTCAAAAAGTGGTTTTGAGCATTTTGAAATTTTGATGCATGCGTGCGCTTCATAACGCGTGCGTACGCTTGCATCAAAATTTCAAAATGCTCAAAATTAGGGTGCATTACATTCAACATTAACCTGAAGTTAATGCTCACTTAATACGATTTCAAAATGGCAATTGGTTAGGCTGAAATGATCGATAAAGTAAAAACGCAAAATTGTGCGGAGCTGACGTCATGCATGTCTGGTCACCTTGAAAACCTTACCGTAACTATTCCAGGCGAAGCCAAAATGTTCGATGAAGCAGTAGCAATTTTGAGATATCGTGCGAACAAGAAATTGGGAGAAAGTGAGAATAAAAAAAGCTGATGATGATCATCATCTCAGACAATAACAAGAGGTGATCTGCTCGTGAAGCGGATCACCAATAATACTAAGAATAATATATTATCCCACAGCCCTACAATATTTCTGCCTCAAGCCTTAAAGTTTTCCAACCAGTTTAAGCTAATTTCATGGCTCTCCACCCACCTTTATCAACACCTTGCCCATTCTCAGAATCCACTCTTATATTTAGAGTTTACCAGTGTTATTGTACCCACTCTTTAAATGTTTACCACCCAGTATCTTAGTGTTCTACAGCTACAACCCTAAATAATTACTTCATTGAGGAGGAAAATATTTTTCTCCTTTTATGCTACAACTTATACAAATATTTACTGGGTTAAGGGGCATGGTTCAAATTATAGCCCGATGTGACCTGGAGGCTGTACTATGTCAGAAGATGAAATAAGCAGTCAAGTGACATAGTACAGCCTCCAGATCACCAAGGGCTATAATTTGAACCATGCTTTATTATATTTATATTTGTTTTATACACCACTACATAGATTCCCTGTTCTTCTGTCGTGAAAAGGCTTAAGCCTAGAACTTCCCTAGCACTTCATCAAGGCCTGCATTTAATAACTTGTTTATTACACTCGGTAAATCACAGTTTGTGGCTTCAAGGTACTCTTTAAATATTTGGATAGATTAGCATACTTAAATTGTTTTTTTCGTATTATCACTGGCCGCTGAAACTAACACTTCTAAAACATGTTCATCAACCAGTTTAAATCTGGTCACTCTGCCATTGTTATTCCTAGCCTACCAGTACACAGTGTGCAGCAGAGTGATCGTCAGTTTCCAGGTCATCAAATTAGGTCAAATTTGATTAAATTAGTAGAAGTGCACCCTCAACAACAGTCTTAGCATAATTTTCTATGTCACGACATAGGAGCGAATTCCAAGAGGTCAGAACAAAAAGACTATTGACTGGCTAGGAAGCCATGACTGGAACTATTGCGTGGATTTTATCAATCAAATGCCTGGAATCTATGTAATCGGTATATGATACAAACTGTTCTTCATTTATATTTTATTTTTGTTTTTTTGTAGGTGCCAGTAGCAATAATGATGCTTCCAACCCAAACAGTTCAGACAATAACTTTAAATCACAGACTGAAAATCTAGGACAGACAAATAGTAAAACAGATAAGAAAATTGACAATTCACAGCCTGAAAGCAAAGGAAAACCAACTAAAAAAACAATTGGAAAATCAAATGAAAGAGGAGTGAATATTGAGAACAAGAAAAAAACAAGTAGAGGAAAAAACTCTATGGATTCTAAAACATTAAATTCTCAATTAAAAAAGAAAGCATTCACAGAAAAATTAAATGGTTATGAGAGTAATAATACAGAATTACATATTCAGCTCCAGAGTATTGACGACTCGTGTGTACCACAACTTACCTATTATGGAATCCACCTGGAAAACATTGACAAATCCACTTCAATGGTAAGTAAAGATATTTAGTGGCTTGAAGTTGTACTGTAGTTTTTTTTATTGGGTCCACATTTGTCTAGTAGTGAAGAAGCAATAGGGAAACTATGGTTCATAACCCAAAATTGTGTTGCAGGAGCTTTTTGGTGGATTGTGTTGTCAGTTGAATTAACAAGTAAAGCCTAGGTCTCTAAAGCAATTTAAATAAATATTGCTTAACATGTTGACTGCCAGACCTTTTTTTAGGCTCCTTCCCACGTTCCAAAACAAGTGTACATGTACATGTACAAACATACCTTTTTGCAATTTTATCTAGTCATATATCATCAAAATGATGTGTCTAATAAATGGGCGGGAAAATATTAGGGGGGGTGCGAGTAAATTTGTCGCCGGCAATGGGACAGTACTTTTTATTGCCTATGCCAAGTGCTAATTTTCTTGTCTGCTTTTTGCATGGGTTGGTATAGGTTCACAGGTTGCCCCCCCCCCCAATTCGTGAAATTGAGTGTGCTGCCAGCAACATATCACAACAAACATACATATGTGTATGTTATCGCCTAGTTGTATCTTCTGTGAACTATTAGCCGTTAAATCTGAGGTTCTACAATGTATAACAATGAAGTAATTAACTCTAGAATGTTAGCCCAATTTTGATAAGTATAATCATCCCTAGTGACCTCAGCAACACTCTGTGGGACATGTTAATACTCTAATTACCAGTCCAAATAATTGCCTGTAGCTACAATACCACATCGAGTTACGAATCGCTGCCTAAAATTACTCAATGGGTCATGGGCCAATATGTTCTCCAACCACTTGTTGATGTGTACATATACTAAATCTAGAAATACTGTATTCAGGCAGTTGGCTTAAAGGTGATCGTAAGTTAGGTCTAAAATTACAAACATTATAGGCAATTATTGTCTTTTAAAAGTGTGCTACAGTTCCATTGTTTTTGACGTGTGTTATAAAGTGGTTTTATTGTCATGATCTTTGTCCATTTTTAATATGGAAGAAAATTGTGATTCTCCTTGCAACATAGCATTGCAACAAAATGGGAATTTGAATTTCATTGTTCTGCATTCTATGCTGCAGATACACGGCATCAGAAACGCTAAAATACATTCAGTCAGTGCAGTGCTTTTAATTCATGAATGTCTTGCTGATATTCACACTCGGGCTCCACTACAAACTGAAATTTAACTTACATTAGTCTGAAGTAATGAAGAAAAGGCTACTAGAATTCACATGAATACAAATCCTATAACAGGGTATGGCATTGTTGATATTGTACTGTGATAATAGGACCCCTCAGCCACTTTTGTGACACTTGTAATCCATAACTAATGTTCATAAGCCCTCAATACTTTCCCGGCGCTGTGACTTGTTACGCCTCAGTAAAAACCCTTGATATAAAATTGTTCAGTGAGCACCTTTGTGAACCAATCCAAGTTTATCATGTATAGTAATTATAAATAGAACTGTATACAAAAATTGTAATAAATTAATTAAAGTATTGACAATATATTTATGATTTCAAATGCTGTAGCACTAGTCAATCAGTATAGAAATCTTTTAAAAGAAACATCATTTTTATCTGATATTTCATCAGAATGTACAGCTTTTTTCATAGGTGATAAGGTACTGTTCTGTATGCAATTTAATCATTGTGGAGATTTTTTTTTCTTATGCTTCTTTTGTTTTTTTCTCATATTTATAGAACGAACTATTGGAGCTCTTTTCAAACTTTACACCTTTGTGGTCTCATTTAGGGAAAAAAGTCCCACGCAGGTAAGGAGACTGCTTATTAAAATATAAATTATATTTATTACTCTTTATTCTTATTGTCACACTTCACAAACACATTTTAAACTCAGTCCACACTGTCAACTTTTATGTGACAAATTTGTGTGCTGTGCCCATATATGGACATGATGGTATCATAATTCACCCATATATGGACATATCACATTTCTTGTCACATAAGGTGGACAGAGCTTAAGACTGTGAAACCAAAATAGACAGATTTGGTGATGGGAGTCACATGACCTAACTTGGGTGTTGGATGAAAACAATGGACTCGCACAGCGGTGTTGTACATGGCGATTGCATAGGTGGCCAGGGAGGAATAATGATGAATAATCTGAGTTGGGACACCAGTTAACTATACCAAATTGATTGGAAATTTAATTTGAGAATTTTGCCTTAGTGGTTTGCTACAGTAATGATCCAAAGGATACTGACCCAAAGCATTGAGATTTTTAGGCCTGTTTAGGTGTGCACAAGAGTCTTACGATTTCTAGGCTAGCTAAGGTTTACACAGAATCACATAAATTTCAAAGCATACAATGCAAGGAGAATACTAGAATGAGTATATAAACACTGTTTTGAACAATCGTATTGCCTTTCCTTGCAATTTATATCTCGTGTTAAACAGTGGGTGGTTATTTTCAAAACCATAACATTACCTTTTCCTATACTGTTACACTGATTGCACTGTAATGTTTTCTATGGTTATACCAACCGTATGTCGCATGACCAGCTGTAAATCAGTCTATAACGCAATAAAATTGGTTCTACAGGTTTTTAATGTGTATTGGATGTAATCATTGAGCTAAAAATGTGGCATTTGGGCCTATGTGAGCGCTAACTAACAAAAATAATATCTACCCATTGATTTACATATTACTGTGTTCATGATTCAATTTACAGGAAAACTGTACATGCTGACCTAAGCTTTAGAACTTGGGAAGAAATCAGAGCGATTTCCGAGCAATTTCAAAACACACATTATAAGGGTGAACAAATTTGTGTTCAATTATCATTTAAAACAGCAAACGAACTTGGTTTAATTTCTAAAGCAGTAGGAATGGATAACAACAACTCAGAATCTGGTAAGCTATTACAGTATTAGTTTTAAGCAACATCATTAAGTTTCAATAAACACTCAATCCTTACGAGTTTATTTTGAAATTATATTGGTCTTGATGATTATTTTCTTGTGGGAATTTTAAAAATGTTTTATTTGAAAAATTCATTTTTTGTTTTGAACTTGGTTTTGGTCTTGTTTTTTTTACTGTAATTGTTTACAATTATTATTTGCCAATTAGTAGATCCAATGGCCAGCACTTTCTTGAATTGTTAAAGGCTCCTACTGTATAAAGTACAGTACCAAATTAATATAAGATATGGAATAGATGAAAATATATGATTGATTGGAGTGGAGTTGAATAGCTTGGTGGTTAAGATGCTTGCTTTCCAGTCCAAGGATCCTGAGTTCAATTGCTGTCACGGTAGCAGACACCAAAACAACTCCACTCCCTAAGCTTCATAATGAGACTTGTCTATGTAAACCATCTTGTGGGATTGCACTTTGAAAAGTTCACTGTTTGGCATATCCTAAAGTTTGGCCCTAGTGCCAAAAGCTCAATAAAAAATAAAATTTAAAAAAATTGATTTCAAATTGTGTTATCTTATATTTGCAGCTACTATGACAGATAAAGAATGTAAAGGAGATTCAGAATTAGCTGATCAGTTAACAACTGCAGAATCTACCAGTTCTCAGTATTCCCCTAATGAATATTCCAGTTCTCAATATACCCCTAATGATGAGACTAACCACCAAACAAGCTCTAAACAAGATGAACTCAACATGGAGAGCATCTTAAAAAGTCTCCCAGAGCCCGTCAACCACGAAGTATTGCACGCCAGCGATAGTGAAGGATCCACTACAAGTACACGACGAAGAAGGCCATGTATTCTGGACTTCATCGAAGACTAAAGACTTTAAAAAAAAAATATAAATACAGTATAACAAATGGTAAAGCCAGGCAGTTGCTGTGTCATACGACAAATTTAACTCTGTTGCCTGTGAGCGCTAGGTGACGTGACCCTTTGTCAGTGGCAGTTTGAATGGATCATCATTAAAAACGAACAATAGCGTGCATTATGGTGTTGCATTTTACACCGGATCGCATCAGCCGACAACTGTTACAGTGTTTTGGTGAACTTTTCTCCTGCCGACAACTCTTTAAATTTTAAGGCACAAAGTAATTTATTTAACAAAAATGCGAGTGAGTGCTTGGTATTAGTCGGGTATGTTAAGTACATCAAGTCTAGTTTCTATAAAACTGCTGATCTCTGGCAACTGTTGGAAACATTTGATTGGTTATCAAACCAACACCAACAGCTCAAACTATGGGTTGTGATCCAAAATTGAGTTCCCCTAGATACACCACTGCTAGCAACTTCATTGTTTCAGAATCTCTGAAAATCATGTATTTAATTTAGTTTAATAGAATATGTAATTTGAAGTAGATTTTTAAACCCCTTCACCGATCCTAACCACAAAGATGAGACAAGGTATTTTTGATAAATTCTGAATGACTCCCTTTGGCAACATTGCACCAAGGTATATACATTAATATTTATAGACAAATTTGCCTAAAAAAGTATTTTATTTAGAAGTCGGGGTGTTAGCCGTGATGTAATGTTTCATTTTCTATTGTACTTTGTATCAAATTTAATCATAATTGTGTAGTAGTACTGTAAAACAATACTGGCACTTTGTAAGAGCAAATTATGTATTAATAGAATCATTTAACAACTTTAATCCAATGCTTACTAGGAGTGTTTCCTTAAGTTTATGAATTGTTTAGATGACAATTCATTTTAATCTGCAATTCAGCCAATTATGTACATATTTTGCTGCCATCGAAAAAAGAATCCTTACAAAAAACCAACAAAGAGCCTCTCACACATCCTCCCAGATTTGGTTTAATTGTTTCCTTTAAACAAATCTTAATGATCTTTACCTATTAGTTACTATTTTTTTATGGAATTGTAAAGTAAATTATAATTAAAAAGAAAACAAAAAGCCCTCATTAGTTTTAATATTAACTGAAAAAATGTATCATTCACTAGTTAAATTTGGATAATCTTTGTAGTTTTTTTTTAGATATAATTTGTATTTGTAATTCATGTACCAAGAATTATCTATTAATTATAATTATTTCTGTATTATATTAATATTAATAATTGGTAAATCCCTAATTATTTCCCAATTTCAAATTAAAAATACAATGTGTGTTGATCTAATCAACGTGGACAAAAATAATTAAATATTGGAATTACTTAAGTAATTATTTGTAAATCATAGAAAACATAATTGTTTTGATATGAGTCTTATTAAAGTTGCTGACTGAATTGATTCGTTGTATTAATTTAATTTTTTAGGGTTTTCCAGATATCAATTATGATGCATTGTGCTTGTAGAATGAAAATTAAAAGAGATGACGTCATATCGGCTTGTTTTTGAAACAAGGACGTGATCGTTTTTTATGTTCTTCTTGTAATAATAGATAAATTATAGATAGTACAAAAATAGATACAGTAATGAAAGATAATAAATAGCAGATAGAAAAGCTTCCCAATATAGTGGAACATCCGCTCCAAAGGCATTATGGGTACACGCAGAGCAATTTTACCCCGTCCGCGCGGCGGCGCTATATAGAAATAATAAACACCAATAAAGGCGCCGCTTTGGTTCTGTTTCTTGTAGTTTCTCCACTTAGTAAAATGTTCAAATTTTACCCCATTAGCGGGAGAGCGGGTGTTCCATCAATTTAATACAAATACGCAGAGCAGCTCATTCTTCAGCTATTTAAGTTTGTTACAGTAATGCATTAATGTGTACAGAGGATGCGATGAGATGGTGACCGATGACGACAAAGGTGGTATGAATGGTACTGAGTGCAGGGATGAATGGTACTGAGTGCAGGGAGTTGTTGTCACTATAAAAACTCCCTGCTGAGTGTGAAGATGATTGTCCATTCATCCTTCACTCATTGGGGAATAGAAACGAATCATGTTCTATAGTGTAATTGTAATAATAGATAAATTATAGATAATACAAAAATAGATACAGTAGTGCATTTATATGTAGAGGATTCAATGTGATGGTGACCGATGATGACAACGGTGGTATGAATTGATACCGAGTGTGAAGATGGTTGTCCATTCATCCTGGACTCATTGGGGAATAGAAACGAATCAAGTGACTTTAATAGCCGCCAATGGATAACAAATATTATCTTTTTAAGCCATTCCGTTGATATGAGATCGAGAAATTTACGTGTTTAACAATTTAGGCATAAAAAACGAGATAAAGCAATGAAGATCTACCTGAACTATTTTCTTCCAACTGAGCAGTGTCGTATGTAAGTATTGTAAGGAGGCAGTAGTGGTGCAAGCATGGGGTCAGGGGACCCCTGTCGTTGGACGCCTTGACGAATTAATAATAATAGTGGTAATATTAAATTGCCTATCCAAAATAACGTTATTTTGATTGCCAATTCCTAATATTGGTCTAAAAGCACAATTAATTTTAGGACATACTACAGTAAGCCATAAAAACTCTTCCCTTGAACCCCACCTTGTATATTCCATTGGCGGATCTTCTTGGGGGGAAACAATTCTAGACCTACCGGTACCTTTTTAGTACCCGTGGGCTGAATTTTTTTTTGTTAGAATGAAGTCGGGAAAGCTCATTTCCTTATTCTGGTTTTTATGTACAGCGCCTTGAGAGCGTATGGAACTACTCGCTTTTTTATGTAAACCTATATGCACACAGGCCTATTTACTGTAATTAGGAATAGGAATGAGAAAAAAAATACCTGACTGTTTTCAAGAGAGGGGAAAACCTTGAATATACTGAAGAACCAAGTCATTAAAAGACACCTCAGAAGTTGTGGAAGCTCATTTCTCGCCATCTAGGAATCAAGTATTCCCGGTAGGACCCCGAACTCCCCCCCCCCCCCCCCCTTTCATCGATTCATGGGAAAAAAGAATATGTATGCAACTACTCAATCTTATTTATTTGTTCATGTATGTATACCAGTACACACATAATAGTAATTTACTGTATTTGTATTTGTAAAGTAAAAGACACTTCAGAAGTCGGTAAAGCTCATTTCCTGCCATCTAGGAATGACAATTTTCCCAGGGGAGGACCCTAGACCGATTTCTTGGTGTTTTTTTGGCAACATTTGACCCCCCTCCTGAACTCAGATCCGCCCCAGTTTTTAATCTGGAGCCGTGACTGAGGCTATAATCGGTCCTAATTATTTCGGCACCCATGTTGGCAAATTTCTGCCACACAGGTGCCTGGTGCTGGAAGCCGCGACGGTTGAAGCGGTGTCTTGATGATGAGAGAGATTAGTATTTTAGGCATGCAAAATAATATGATTTTTTTTATAGCAGCTAATATGTTAGTGGAAGTTTATGAAGTTCTTTTTCTTTATTGCTTTCAACATACTTTACAAAAATCATAACAACATAATATAGTATAATGCAATATTACAATAAAAATAGTCTCATCTTTCTAGTAAAAAAAAAAATAGCATTACAAAATCCATAGCCAATACAATATAATAATATAAAAATAAATGAAATTAAAATAAAATTACAAACAGAAAGAATCATCTTTCTAATGTAAAAATTAATTTACCAGGTTCATTAGCAGTACTTTCTCTAAAGACTTTTTTTTTCTTCTTTTGTACAGAAAGGGGGGAAGAAACATAATATTTCATATATATATATATATATATATATATATATATATATATATATAAATCATATAAATCATCAAAGGTACATATACACAATGTCTGCATCCCCTGTATCTGCCGCAGCCTCTACGTATCATCCAGGGGAAACGCAACCCTGGATGGATCGTCGTGGAATAAAATGTCCTATTGAGGGCGTGCTTTGAAAAAAACTATCCTCGCATATAAACATCAATTCAATGATCGTTCGAATGATCGATGTTTGTGCGGTTCCCGTCAGAAGTCTGTTTATACATACAGGAAAAATTTATGTGAGTAAATACCTTAAACATTTTTTAGAAATATACAGGAGGAGTTATTAATTTAATACTTCCTCTTTGTAATTAAGAATAAATCTATCGGAGATGAACACTCGTGACCAGACCATGTATGTTCGAGAACCTTGTCGGTTGTATCTTATCTCTTATCAACAACAGTGTAGTCGAGAGATCGTATCTGCGATGTGTTTCTATCTATGGAAAGGCCTACAACTGTGACATCTGTGTATGCTGCACGCACTTGTAATGAAGGTCTGTCCAACCATGGAGGAAATAAACAAAGTTGAAACTTAAAAATTAATATTATATTTGTTTGTCAGTTTGCTTTATTATGAGGTAATCAAGTAAAATAAGGTAGGCCTACTATTATTATATTATTATTGTAATTACCTGATTTAGAATAATTATTATTTATTATTATTATTATTATTATTATTATTATTATTATTATGTTACTATTAAAAACCTACCTTATGGAAAACTTAGATAATGGCGAAATTAGAGAACAATTTAAAAAAACGGCATTAAGGGGAAAATAACATGACGTTAGGGAAAATAACACAAAAGTTATTCCCCTTAAGTCTGACTTAGCGCATATTATTAATTATTATTATTATTATTATTATTATTATTATTATTATTATTATTCTTATTATTACTACTATTTTACTTGATATGCCCATATTTGGGTACTGTATAATAAATATGAGCACATTACACAAATTTTTCACATAAAATAAAATAGTATAGATAGAGCTTCACAGTAATTTACTATATGGTGAAGTGGAAAATCTTTTTCTTTATTCATCTCATATTTTGAATTGAAAATGAATGTTTAAATGTATTATTTTCTTACAGTTAAAAAATGTCAAAGCATAGTAAAAAAAGAAAAATTGTCTCAAAGAGTGAAGCACAAAGAAAGAAATATGATTCACAGGAAGGCGTAGCGAATGGAAGGTTTCCAAATGGACAGCACAAGGAAGAAGAGGACAACTCAGTCACAAGTCCGAGTAAACGGTCACTAACACATATTTACCTTGCTTGTATCACTTTTATTGTCATCACCTTCTTTCTGTCGCTCATTGCTTTTCACAATTTACTAAATGTAGAAAATGTAGAGTTTGATGACGCTTACATGTTCAATATTGAACAAGATGAAGTCTTAAAGCGGTATAAGCAAATAGAGAGAATGGATAAAATTCATCGGAGAGCTAACCTTGGCTTACAAGAATTCAAAGCGGTGTATGATGGCAAATGGTAGGTTGTCAACTTCCATTTTAAAAATCATGTTATCTTTTTAACAAATAAATATTTAATAAGATAATGTAAAAGAATGGATGAATAAAAAAAAACCAAAATTATCATAAATAATTTATTCTATAATATTTTTAGCAGATTCTTCAGTTAGATGAGAGAAATATTGATATCTTATAATTTACCTTTTATTGTAAATTGTTGCTATTGTTATTGTATTGATTGTTATGTAAAACTGAAACAGACTGCTATCATATCAGGATTAATCCAATAATCGGATTGGTGCTGGGAGATATGTTTTTGTTCATCGTACTAAAGTTAAGTGTCAAATGATCTTTCACACTTCCATTTAAAATGGCAGCTGTATTGCTGGAAACCATAAATTTTGAATATTTATTTTTATGACTGTTTTATTTATTGTTAAATTTTGCATTTCATTCAGTGTGTCCCCATACAATACCATAGGCCTATTGTTATATAAAAACTTCAATATTATATGATGATCCTGAAATGAAAGCCAAGTAAAAAAATATATTAGTTTCCCATCCCTAAAGCACTTCCTTATTTTGCTACTGCCTCAACTTTTTAATAACTATAAATGATACATAATAAAGTCATATAAATTACTGAATAAAAAAAGTAATTAATAGATTAAAAATTTAAAGAAGGTGAGGTCTGATCAGTACGGGAAACAGAGGAAAAAAATTATACAAAAATATAAAAGATCAAAGTATTATAACAATAATAATTTAGGAGATGTAGTAAATGAATAAATTAATTTATATAACTTTTTAGAAACGTAGTGCAAGTAGAACCAGCAAATTTTATTCAATTACTGATGTTATTCCAAATATGAGGATTTCAAGCAAGAGCACAACATAGTACGCTTACAAAATGCAGTCAGTGCTCTGGCTTTTGTCACAAATTGACTACTGTAATTCACTCTTTAGAAAAAATGGCAAAAGTCTGGTTAGTTCTTTCAGGGAGCAGTCATGTTTGAGCCCCACAGCTTTTTCGATCAAGAAGCTCCATTGGTTGCCAGTCATTTAGCAGAATTCACCATTTATGAATGTATAGCTGGATTTTATCCACCCCGCTGAGCTTATCATAATATTCAAGCATATACCGTTACTACAATATATTGTCATCTTCCTACATTATAATAATGTACTACATCATAAAAGAGAATTAGGAAGTTTTTCATTTCCTTGTTACGCTGCAAAGCTCTGGAATGAACTTTCACCTGAACTTAATGGTATTTCCATTCCAAAATTTGCAAATTGACTACTGTAATTCACTCTTTAGAAAAAATGGCAAAAGTCTCAGTGGTTACAGTAGTTCTTTCAGGGGGCAGTCATGTGCGAGCCCCACAGCTTCTTCGATCAAGAAGCTCTATTGGTTGCCAGTCATTTAGCAGAATTCACCATTCATGAATGTATAGCTGGATTTTATCCACCCAGCTGAGCTTATAATATTCAAGCATATACTGTTACTACAATACTGTATATTGTCATCTTCCTACATTATAATAATGTACTACATCATAAAAGAGAATTAGGAAGTTTTTCATTTCCTTGTTACGCTGCAAAGCTCTGGAATGATCTTTCACCTGAACTTAATGGTATTTCCATTCCAAAATCCGTTTAAACAATCACTTAATCACTTTGCATTTACCATAACCTGCTCTACTTTCAAAAATCCTTGGTGTACTGTTGTGCTGTACATGTTGTGATTTGTATTGTAGGCATTTATATGAGGCATGTTGTGGAAAAATGGCCAAGTTGAAGCAAAATTTGAAATTCAAGTTATTGGTATTTTCAGATACCTGAGTATAATCTTCCTTTTTTTGCTACAGCCGTAACTTTTTAATAACTATAAATGATACATAATAAATTCATATAAATAACTGAATAAAAAAGTAATTAATAGATTAAAAATTTAAAGAAGGTGAGGTCTGATCAGTAGGGGAAACTACTAAGTTGAAGCAAAATTGGAAATTCAAGTTATTGGTATTTTCAGATACCTGAGTATAATCTTTAAAATGAGGGGTCATTCATTGAAATTGGACATTTCAAGCCCAAGTTATTAGAGCGTGAATGTACAGCACTCTTAGAGTCAAGATAAACATGATTTGAGTAACTGCCTTCTAAAGTTATTTGTACATACATTGTTAACTATCAAAATAACGTTAAATAATGATTTGTTGACCATTTCCAGAACTACAGTAATACTTTGGGACATAATTAATAAGACATTAAACTGTTGATCTATAGTAAAAAATAAATTTGAATTTTTAGTAAATTTTTTGAGCTCCAATATTTTATAGCTCATTTACTCAGTACCGGCCTGTGCGACAACTTAACCATTTCGCCACGACGTGCCTCATATAATATTATGCTTTTCAGAATTTTGTTGGAGATACAGTGATATCAACCACTTACGGAGACTTGGCTTATGCTTCGACACCAAAAGGAAGCATAATATAAATGCACAGTAGCAGGCACTTTTAATAATGTTTTTATTAAAACATTAAAAATTATATCTTTGACTCTGACTTAATTACAGTGCATTACATTGTATGTCTGAATTCATTTTAAGAGTGTTTCTAAATGTTACCACTGATAATTAGGAATATATATTAATTATTCATCTTGCCAAAGATTATATGAATGTTAATTAACGCTTGAGATATTAGACTGTGTGTGTTCATAATTTAAATTGATTATCTGTAACTTGCCCTTAATATCAAAGAAGAAAAAACCATGAACAAAATTTCAAAGCACAAAATAATTCCATAAACTGCATATGGTAATGTTATAAAATTTGTATTTCCCTCTCTCCCCCCCCCCCTCCATTTTTCCCCCACTTACATACAAAATTGTATAAGAAGAAGAGTATTTTGTGTCAACAAAACCTAAAATATAACATTAAAAAAAATGTTATATTTTTTTACATTCTTGATTTAGTATTCATAATTCATGTATTCATAATCATATAATATTATTAAAAATTATTATTAAAGGAATATATCAAAAGCACTACAAAAGACTACATTATAGTGTAATAAAATATAAATTTGTGCTTACGTTTTCTTTCTTATAATTTAGGCCTGTACTTATAACAGATGTTATGCAAGAGTGGCCTGCATCTAACTGGACAAAGGAGTTTTTTGTGAATGTTTACGGCGAAGAGAGGATAACAATGAAGGCTGTTCGAGTGAGCATGCTTAGTTTAATTATTCATTTTGAAATTAGTATTATATTGGCATTGAATTTCATGTAGAAACACAGTTGATGATTTAGTGGGGCCTTGTTCTTTACATGTTTTGGTTATGCAAGCTAATATACTTTTAATAAAACATTAGATGATAATTCTTAACCTGCTTCCCCTTCCATTTTTTCCTTCCTGGTAATTTTCCCATCTGTATGAAGCTGTTAGTTAATGCTCTATGAGATTTGAACCTGATCAGAGAATAACAGTGTGGCTTTGGTTTCTCAACCTTGAAGACAGTGGTTCAAATCCCTTACGGTGCATTTTTCTTGCGTCCTGTTAGACCTTATGTTAATGCAATGGCCAGGGGTAATAATAACATTGTCGGCACCTTGTTCTTCTTGGTAAAAAGTGCAATATAACTATATTATATATTGTTGACAGTGATGGATGCTGTTTCACATTTGTCTGCAGGGAACATTAAAATCGGCTGAGTCCTTCGCATTACCATTGAAGCTGTTCCTAAGCCACGTCCATGAGGGCCAACCAAATACCTGGACGTACTTAGAAGATGAAATCTTTCTTGAGCAAAGACCGCAGCTCAAGAAAGATTTGATTAAGCCAGTAAGTACCATCCAGTATTTTTACTTTCGAGCTTTTTACACTGTATGCTGAATACTATTTAGGTACCATTCATACAGGTACCTTGCTTTGCGTACAATAATGATTAGAACAGCTGAATTTTTTCCTTGAACATTCAACCATAGACTTCAGTTGGAGGCCCTTAAAAAAGGTAAAGGTAGGAGAATAACCCATTTTGCAGTGTCAGTGTGCTGAATTGCGTATGGGCTTTGGTCTGTGATTACCTAGTCGGCGTAAAGAGGTGCTTATAGTAGCTGCATGTTCACAACCTTCCACAACGACGGGCTGAAATGAACCATAGCATTGGAATAATCCCCTACTCTTCCGAAAGATGCAATGGATTCTTTAAAGTGCGCACAAACCAGCTGTGTACACTAGACCATTATTTTAAGCCCTTATCCGAGAAGACTTGCTTCTACTGACCAGAGATTTGGCAAGGAGCAGCTGGAACTAGCGCTGTAGTTAATGCCGTCCTTTGGATCGAAACCAGTTGGTGCTACATACACTTGTAATTGCTCAAAAGAAAACTCTACTCAAACATGCTGCTGGCTATGTTGGCATCATCATCATCATCGTCATATACAGTAACATGGAAAAAATCTTGAAATTTGAAGAAATTTTAAGTCACTAAAAGACATCAGAATGCAGGAAATTGCACATTCCAAAAACAAATTTGGGAGGAGATACAGACCCCATTCATAAAAAAATAACTCTAACTTTGCACCTTTTTCCCCACCCCTTCCTAAAAAAATCTTAATCCCCAATCCTTAATGTTCTAACAGGTTACTTCATACAGCTTGTGTGTCTGCCTGCCTTTTTAAAATAATATACTAAGAATTGCAAGACTAAATAATTCAAGTGCTCCATATTGTACCACAAGCAAACAAGCATAATAAAAATCTTGATGTAATTTCAAACAATAGTACTTCAGCTCATCAAGATCATAATAATTGCTCTGGCTCAATTTGTAATTCATATTATACCATCGCCAGACAGTCTTTTATTCCAAACTCTATTTCCTTTCCTTCTAGTACACCAGCTAATGAAAACATATTGTACGGTGCATTCAGTGCAGCATATGTTCAAAGTAGTCCACTTATTAAATTAATGTAATAAAATTTTTAATAAGCACATAAAAACTTATTAAAGTCATATAGTTAGAATATAGACATTACTTCCCTGCACACTTTGAATGTGCATGCTGTTATATTACACATATTTTATTACATATTGTTTTTTTGATATTCCTCAATATCTAGCAACTTGTGTATAGTATAATAATAATGGTCGACTTATATACTGTGCATATTGTAGGAACCTCTAAGCACTTCACATTATTACACCCAGTCCTTGGAACAAGCTCATATAGAACCCATACTCAGTTTGCTGGGGGGAATTCCATAAGGTTTCAGCTGTAACATTTTGTGTTTTTTGAACCTACCAGGTACCCACTTGTACTCCTGGGTGGAAAGAGACAACCGTAGGTAAAGTGCCTTGTACAGTAGGTTCAAACACAAAATGCATTAATTTCCAGCTGCAACATCATGGAATTCTAACAGGGAGCTAAGTTATTGTGTTCCATATGTGGTTGATTCAATGACCAGGGATAATAATGTGAAAGGATTGCCACTTTTTATACCTGTATGATAGGGAAAGCTTACAATCCTTGATCGTGTGCCAAGATTCTAATTCTCCAAAATATATTTAAATGATCTGCTTTGTCAGGTATACTTAGAAGAAGATTTGTTCCAAAATTTTCCATCAGAAATCCGGCCATGGAATGCCATGCTTCTCTGGGGAACTCGTTACTCAAGGTCATCCCTCCACATTGGTGAGAAAATTTTTTTTTAAATTAATTAATTAATTTATTTATTTATATATATTTATTTATTTATTATTTATATTATATATTTATTTATATATTATATTTATTTATTTATTATTTATATTATATATTTATTTATTTATTTGATTTATTTATATTTTATTTCTTTTTTTTTATTTATGTTTATATTTTCCTTTTTTTTAAAATATTTTTTTGATGATTAATTTTACACTTTAATTCAGTTTGCTTTTTGGTTTTTATTTATCTTGATATCCTTCCCTTTATCACATTTTGCTATCTGTATCTTTCTTTTAATTGTTTGTATGTTTTTACTGAGAGAAATAAATAAATGAAAAGAAATAGAGCCCGTAGCTTTGTGGTTAAGATGCACTCCTTCAAAATCCCTGAATCATGGGTTCAATTTTTTTTTTACCCTAGGATTTTTTTACTTCTAAAACCTCATAAAGGAGACTTAGTTAACAGAGTATCACATATTCTTTTCTGCTTGTTTCTGTTTCCATTGTAATAAAAATGCTGAATAAAATATGAAGTATCTGCTACTATATAATTCTTTAAATATTTTTTATAGATCCTTACAACTGGACTGGCACAAATGCTGTCTTCAAAGGACTTAAGAAATGGAAGCTTTATCCTCCTGGACAAGACCAGTATTTGTATGTTTACCCAGATCAACTCTCAGGGTTTCCACTCAGTTGTTACAAGTACAATAGGTATTTATTAACTTTTCAATTAAAAATATGAAATGATAATAAACAAACATAGAGTTTTTCTTAGTAATGGTTCTTCTCTTCAACTAAGATAAGCAAATCTACAATAAAGGATGTATAGTAATAATAAATGTGTCTGAACTCACATGACAAGAAACCAGTATGTACCAGAAACCACATCTCTCTTTAAAATTTTAGTTCACTTGTGTCAGACATGTATCTTATAAATCAAATTGTAAACCAAAAACCCTTGAAAGGTTTAAAGGATGAAGACATCCAGTTAACATCTCATGCATAGGTCTAAGATTTATTATATATATTGTATTCCTACCATCCAGCAATCATTACATTATGGTGGGTCATCTACAATTATCAATTCCATTTACACAAAATTTGATTCAATCAAAGTATTTATGATAAACATATAATATAATATCTATCACTCTTTATAAAGCAGTGGAAATGGTTTGGTTTCCCAATTGCGAGGTTGGGGTTTCAATCCTTTGCTATGCATTTTGCAGTGATAATAATAGTAATGTGTTAATGTTGGTCAGAAGTCATAATATGACAAGAAACCACAGTATGTTCATGCTTTTAAATTTTAGTTCAGTTGGGTCAGACATGTATCTTATAAATCAAATTGTAAACCAAAAATGCTTGAAAGGTTTAGATGATAGAAACATCCAGTTAACCTCTCATGCATAGGTCTAAGATTTATTGTATCGATAATATTGTATTACATTCTTACCATCCAGCCGTCATTACATCATGGTGGGTCATCTACAATTTTCAGTTCCATTTACACAGAATTTGATTCAATCAAAGTATTTATGATCAACATATGTGGCAGAGACAAGCCAAACCAGTCACTCGTCGCAAATCCTGTTTCAGAGAAAATGGCCAAAACATGCTAAAATGTCAATTTTTTAAAAATCTATTTTATTGCACTAAACTAAACCTTTATATATCTACACACCATCCTATGCTGTTATTTTCCCCATTTCAATGTTAAAACAACACTTTTTGAGGATTTAAAGATAGTTTCTACATGAGAAATGCCTGAAATCATAAACTTTGACGGCTGATTTCTCATATATTGTTCTTTAAACAGCTGTGTTGTTAAATGCTTGTAACTTCATAAGGAAATGTCTGATTTGAATGATTTTTTACCATTTTATAGCTATTATTTTATTCTCTAACACTGCATTAATAATTCAAAATCGATTTTTGCGACGAGCGACTGGTTTGGCTTGTCTTTGCCACATATAATATCTATTATTCTTTATGAACCAGTGGAAATGGTTTGGTTTCCCAATTGGAAGGTTGGGGTTTCAATCCTTTGCTGTGCATTTTGCAGTGGTGTATCCAGTAGTTTGCCACTAAATTTAGCACTATTCACTTACCTGTTCTGAATATCTTGTACCCCCCCCCCCCCCTTTAAAAAATTCCGGATCCACCCGTTTTGCTTGTTGTCCTTAAGCAAGGCACTTTATGTACATTTGCCCCACCCCCTCGTCAGACAGGCCTGGACCCCCTTTCGTCTGACGAACGACTAGGTCGTTGAATCAAAAAGCTAAAAGACATTATTTGCCTATCCAGATAACGTTATTTTTATTGCCAATCCCTAATATTGTGGTCTCAAAGCACATTTTGGACCATATTAAGCCACAAAAACTCTCCCCATGAACCCTATCAAACGATTTTTTTTATTCCAGGCCATCGAACGAGGCTTTGTCTGCCCTTTGGTTCGGACTCCTCCGTTGGACCCCTCGTCAGCAAATTTCTGCCGCCCCCGCTGACCATAAATAGTCATTAATAGAAATCAAATAAATAATCTACCATAATAATATCCATTTTAATTATTATTAACAGCTCCCCCCACCAGGGGCGGATCCAGAAATGTCCAAAAGGGGGGGGGCCGGAAGGGGGGGCCGAAAGTTGGGCCGATTGAGACAACACTGTCGTAGGGGGTCCGGGGGCATGCACCCGCGAAATTTTTGTGTTCTAGACGCCCGAACATAACATTTGAGGCATTCTTGGCCATCATTTTTTCCTTTTTCTCTCTTTTTTTTTCTTTTTTTTTCTTTTTTTACCTCTAAAAAGGGGGGGGCCCGGGGCCGGGCCGGCCCCCCTAAATCCGCCCCTGCCCACCCTGCTGGTGTCACCCCTGAGGCGCAAACCGGAATCGTTAACGACAGATGTGGCATTGTCCAACTTTATTGCTCCATAGTAAAATCAGACTCCTCCTTACACCAAAATAAGAGAAGCAAAAAGCATTGCATTCCTGATGGTATACCTGTCAAAGGGGACAACAAATGTGCCTCTTCAAAGACTTCTCGTTCACACTGCACTGAGAATTATCAAAGAACATAAAACGACCATTATCGATACTTTTACAACATAGGCCTGATATGATAGAGGATGGAATTAATATATCATGACATTGGTGTAAACCTAATGTCATGCAAACACATTTTACATTTAAAAAAATGTAAAATTAGGTTGTCCGGTGTCATTATGAATTTTGACTTCGAAAAAAAAAAAAAATATATTCGCTGTATTAAGATTAACAATAGAAGTTTTAATGTTGGCTTATGCCTAAAACACTTTTGGTCCCGTCCAATCAGAAAAATGTATTTTGATGACGTCATGGAAAATGCAAAATGTTCCTACAGAAGTTCTTTTGTCCCACACCTCCTTAAACATTTCAAAAAATCATTATAATATGAACTTGTTTTGGTATTGCAATGAAAACTGACATCGTCCAATCAGAAAACAGTACAAAAATGCCATCATATAGATTTTAAATGCTTTTATTGAATTCTACGGGTATGCAAACCTCTAGATAAATCTTATATTCGCTTAGATTAGCTTCTGTAATGAGTAATTCATTTTAGCACACTTATATTTCAGTCTGGCCCACTGTGCGGAGTAACCCCCTATTTGTATCGAAAGATGTATTAGGTCCTAGTGCAAATGAGCCAAATTGTGTTCACTGGGCCTACAGTTTACAGTCCTTATCCGAGAAGACGTATTCCACCAACAGACCCATAGGCAAGCGAACCAGCACTGATGTTATGGATGTACATTGCAGCACACCTGCCTTAACCATCTGACCATTCGACTTGCCTATTGATAATTTATTATAGTTTAACCTTCAATTTTTTAACCATTATTTACCATCTCATGTATTTTCCTTTGATATTTTTGTTATTTAATTCTGTACAATTTGCTTTGATTTGTTTAGCCCTGTTGATGCTTTCAATCCCGACCTGAAGACATACCCAATGTTCCGGCATGCAAAAGCGATAGAGTTCGATCAGAAGCCTGGCGAGCTTCTCATCATTCCGACTGGCTGGTTCCATCAAGCTTACAATGATGATGAAACCATGGCAGTCAGTAGCCAGGTTATGAATTCAGGAAACTATGAGTAATGTATTGTTTGATTTTTTTTCATACAAAACTTTTAGTTTTGTGTGGCAAAGTGCCACTATGTTATTTACAACATAGTTATAGTATTTTATCATAACTTTGTTTATTAAAGAAACACTTTTGATTTAAAATTGGCCTATAGGAAACCCCTTCCCATGAACCTGGTTACAGGCCTGTTAAATGGTGGCTTCATGTTAGGTATATTTTTGGTTCATTTAATGACTTGGTTACATATTGTGTCTTTGGCAATGCACTTTGTCCACATTTGTCTCTCTACTCAGGAATATAAATGGGTACTTGTACTGTGGTATTGATTGCATTACAGTATTCTTATAAGCTGAGTGCACCTGCGCAACTGGGTATACTCCCCAGGGAGCAAAGAAGGTTGCACTGTGCACTGGTTTGCCAATGTATGTAATCCAATGACCAGGATTGCGGGCATATGATAAAATAGTATTAATTTTTGTGCACTGAGTACACATGCACGACTAGGTATACTCCCCAGGGAGCAGAGATTTCTGGTTTCAACTGGCAGTAAAAACTGAATTGCGAGACGTTTACAATATAATAAAAATGCTAGATTAAATTGTTTTCTTTAAAAATATAAAAAAATAAATTGCAAAAAACCCAACACCACAGAATTTAAAACAGAGAAGAGATGGTTGCACTTTGTATGTAATCCAGTGACCAGGGGTTGTAGCGACCTCTTGCCTTTGGTCAGTATTGGCTTGGAATTTGCGGCATATAATAAAATAGTATTAGTATATTTATGAGGGAAAATTTATTTCCCTTATGAGAGCATCACACTCTACCCTACTGTCATTTTTGTTTAAAAATTTAATATTGAATGTGGATCTTCATATTGTGCTGTCAAATTTATATTCTGTTTTTGACTGTATCGTTGTGTTGCTGATGGCAATAAATTCATATTTGTATATACATAATATATTATTATAATAATTAATAATTTGTTTTTGTAGGATTGTAATTGAAGAGATTTTGAAAGCTAATGAAGTTCTAAAAGATAAACTACCACAGACTTTTTATGACATGACACCTGTACAAAAGGTTTGTTAAGTTTTCTTAATTTGAGTTACTATATTTAAAATACTTTATTGTACAGATACCATGAAAATCTAATTTGTAGGTATAAAACATAGATTAGATTATATTCTATGTCTACCAATTAGGCATCATCCACTAAAAAAAAATTGCAAGATTGCAAAATATATTCCAGGGGGATGGGATCAACAGTATATATGTACTACTTAATGAAAATACAAAATGATGTTCTCAACATCATTTATTATGGTGGTATGGGATGGGGGTATCACAGGAAGAGTATGTATAGTACACTAGAAAATAATGAAAATAATGGATGATCTCTATTTATTGGTATTCCCTCTTTATACATACCATATTAACAGTTTTCCAATAAAGGCCCCGCTTTGAATAAACATCTCCCCTCCCCCTCCCCCATCCTCCCTCTAGAGCCTCATTTGGAATAAATGCATCCCTCAAATAAGTGTCCCTCTAAATCACAGTAAACAAATCTAATGGAAGCAACATCATTCTCAACACCTTCTATTAATGTTCTGCTCCAGTAGAATTACATTTTTTCAAACACATTATCACAGTAATTATGTTTTGGAGTTCCACATTTACAGTGAAATTAAGGGGCGTTTATTTGTGTATTATATGTATCCATTTAAATAAACTTGAATGTTAACTTAAGCAAGTAAAATACAGACTGCTATGGGAATTTCTTCCTTCTACATTGCTATATACGCAATGGTTGCAGTGCCACAAATCAGGCTCTCAGAGTCCTCGGTTTGAACCCCTTGCTGTGCATTTTGCCTGTGTCATTGAACAAGGTGAACCTACAGTTGTCTTTCTCCACCAGTATAAGTAGGGGTGGCGCCAGCGATTTGGCCCCAAGGACTCATGGTTGCCTTTCATATTTTTTAAATGTTGTTTTTACATCTCACATTTTTTGATATTCTCTTGCAATTCAATGTATCTTATATTAATAATGGTCTTATACATAGCACCTTTTCCTCACAGTTACTGACAAAGTAAATAAACATATTTTATAAGTTTGTTTTGAGGATGAGCACAGCCCCTGAATAAGGCTTGTTACTAGGCTTTGGTAAACATATAAATGTTGAAGGAAATGTAATTGGGCCTAGAATTACAAATGTTTCAAGCCTAATATGGGTGTTCAAGAGCCAATATAATGATTAATTCATTCAATGGTTGAATTACATATTCAAAAAATTTAGTTATATTTTGATCTAATTCTCTACAAAATTTAAATGAATGTCAAACCTTATCAGACGTCCCTATCTGTAATCTGTTTACAAAATACACATGACAGTGTGAAGATTCCCAAAATCCTGGTGTAGTGTGCTGTTTCATCTTGATTTAGGCCTATACTTATCACCAAATTGTGTGGTTTGTTGCTTAATATTTGCTTTTAAAAAGTTGTGATTCACTTGTTATAATAAAATACCATGTTTACGACTGTTAGCCTCACTGCTTTGAAATAGAATGATGGTGTGATATTTTGTATTTATTATTTTTCGGTTGGAAGGCTTTTTTATTTTAGCAAATGATGCCAGCAAATCGGGTTTTAAGATAACATGGCTGTTAATCTGACATAAACTTGTTTTATACTTTTACTGTATATACTTTTCTAGAGTCGGCATTTGTTTTTTCTTTATTTCTGATGATAATTAAAAGTAATTAACATTAATTGCCAACCTTCATGCTGGTATATAAATGACTATAACATCAACTTTTATTATTTATTATTATGAATATAAAAAAATACTGGCATTATATTGTGTAATCTGTCCATAGGTGAATACCTTGATGAGATTGATGCCAAAGGACATATTAGACAGAGGCCGTGAAGTCAATGCTGAAGCCTTGAATGAAATCCACAAAGGAACAAGATAAACACTCCTGCAGACAACCCTGGGTGATGGAACCATCCATTTACTATATTCAGTTTGCAGAAATTTAATCAGCTGTTATTTGCAACCCTAGAGCCAGTGGTGTATCTAGTGCACATGCCCTCCCTATAAAAGCTTGCACCCCTACCTCCACCCCCACCAATTTCCTACCCCACTGAAAAATTTTAAGCAAAAAAAATGATATTATAGTTGTTAAAAAAAAAAACCTCATATCAGTTTTTTTTCCCAGCTAGCATCCCTCACTTTATCATCGATCCCCTCCCGCTTCACCTTTACTTTCTCATCAGCCCCCCCCCCCCCCCCCCCCCACCCCCCCCCCCCCCCTTCTTTCAATACCCCTAGATATGCCACTGCCTAGAGCCACTCCTCATATTTTTGTCGCACCCGGATAAATGTATAGAACCAGCTACCTCCCTTCTGGTGATCATAGATAGAGTTAGCCCTCTCTTATCAATTTGCCTTTGGTAGAACCAAGCCGCCCTCTGCACCCCAATAGTTGCCATGCCAACCAAGGATAGAGAACTGTGTTGTAGTATAGGCAACTTTTATAAATTACCATTGATAAAGACATTATTAAATCGTTCACTGAAATTGTTTCTTTTTATTATTGTAGGAGATGACACTCACTTTAAAATATTAAATAATTTGTATATAGTATAATGTTATATTTTGTCATTTTGCAATATGGTAAAATTG